AGCTAAAAGTGCTACCAAACACATAATGCTCTTGGCATGGAGTATGTGCAAATTAGTCCGTGACGAACTTGAAAGACGGATTATAGTGGATGGAATGCCTTTGAGAAATCTAACCTTGAGAAAGTAAATTTCCCTAGACTACCGAGTTGATGAACTCACGTAGTCTAGTTGAATGTGTATGGTGTGAAAAACACTCACAGACACACACTATCAGTGTGAAGCGAAACAGAAGAAGGGTATTATGGATGCTTAAATGTAATCTCATTATCTTGACTTCAGAGTGTCACCTTGGATTATTCTTAACACTGTGCCAAGACATGTTTTGGCAACGCTGTAAATGTTTTCTGACTCACATAATCGTGTAACCCCATGTATCCAAGATTCTGGAGGACACATACAATGTAAGGCTATGTTGCTTACTGTAAGTCATCAAATATTTAAGGTGGACTACATTCTACAAACTCGGTAGACTAGAAATTTAGGCCATACCAATTTGATTTCTTGTTATCCCCCTTGAAACATTTTTCAACAAATTCTCCTGCAGTTCCAGAACAGGCAGCTAGGGGGCCCAAACTCATGTCACTCTTGAAATGCATTTAGTATACTCTTAGAACTATTTTATCAACTGTAAGACATACAAAAGGAACAGTTACTGTTCTGTGGTAAATACTTTATGAAATACTTGATTTTCACGGTGCTATAAAATCTACCTAAAGTGTTACGAAGTTCAATGAATTCACTGTTCTGTACTTTTTGTCCTACATGATACTGTATTTTTGCTCCACAAAACTTGTCCATACCACCACAGGAAGTACATGTAACCTCCATAACCTCCTCTTTTTCATTATCTCTGTTTTGTCGGGTTTCCATAGTTATTTCCATAGTTTAAGCTGTGCTCAGCTCAACAATATGACTCTACGTCACCACAAAATCCTAGTTAATCTTGTTATTGGTAATGGAGTGAAATAGAAGTCATGGTCAACATTCTTGTATGAGCAATAATGTTGCTGTTCCCAAACACATAATAGATGGTAGGCTTGCTTGGGGCCTTTACAAAACACCATTATGTGACCACAAAAAAACACCTTACAAAATCATGCATTTCTTCAATAATCACCAGGCCTTTATTCAATAATCTTATATACTTGATGGAAAAAGTCATAGTTTTGAACAAGCGCTAGCATTCAAACCCATATCTAATTGTCAATCCTGAATTCAGTGACGACAGGTGGCATTTTTCTTGGGATATTCCTTGGTGACACAAGTGAATGGTAACGGGATGACAAATGGGTGCAATGTACTTTAGGTGATAAGCTTTTCCCCCAGTTGTTTGGTATCCCGCCCACTCCAGTGTCACATTTGGGCAGGAAGCCATGTTTTGCAGCCCGAGGGGGCCTTGAGAAAAGGGAAATATAAAAGACGTTCCATTATCTGCACTGCGTGAACGTTGTACGATTACTTCGCTGACGAAGCGTTGGTTGCGGCGTGCGTCAGTTGTGACGTCAGCTGTACAGTACGCCCGTAAAACCACGGATTTCCCATTATCAAACCCCGGGGGTTGTAATACCTCCTGCAATTTGCTGAAAAAAAGTCATGACTGATAGTGGAAATATCAGCCATTTACCTGCAATTTTGAATCACAAATCGGTCAAGTAGTGCTAGTAGTATAGCTAGCATATATTTACCATTCAATATGCTGTAGAAGAGCAGCAGGGCTCGAAATACATTTTGTACTGGGTGCATGTGCATCTCAGTGCACCCAAATTTGGAGCTGTGCACCAAATTCTTTTCGCTGTACGCACCAGTGCACCCAAATAATTTTGTAGGTAGCCTAGGTTTACATTTGTAAAGATGTTAAATGTATCAAATTGAATGTAGTATACAGCATATTCTTACCATCTACATGTATGTGTCAGAAAAAAAAATCTTTGTTATTATTTTTCTTAAATTTTGCTGAAACAGATATTCTACTTATATGGTGCACCCCAAAAAATTTTTGTGCATCCAATATTTTTAGGTTGGGTGCACCTGCAGTGCACCTATTCCCAAAAATGAATTTTGAGCCCTGGGCAGGAACAGCTTTGATATTCTGGAGAAAGCCTGCAGGAAACATTTCTTGCAACTTTCAATATTGTAGGCAACAAACAAAAAAGAATATGAGCAGGACAACTATAAAACAAACTTGCTGTCACTTGTTTTGACGTGAGTAGTTTCATCAGGTTGGTAAGTTGGTAAGTAAAGAGGCTCTTTTTTCAGCCGAGATTTCTGTGACCGTCTGTCACCTTCCCCAGAGCAATGTGCTGCAGTGCAATGTGAACCAGTCAGAATTGCCCTGAGGAAGGTGACAGACGGTCACAGGAAACGTTGGCTGTGAATAAAACACTTGGTTGTGTAAAAAGAGTCTCTTAACTTACTTGTATTGATGGCTTTCCCTTGAAATCTGTGTAGGTGGGCAACAATTATGTCAATTGAGGTCACGGAAACGATATTATTCACCTACTTCAAACCCATCCTACTTCTACTAACTTGGTTGCTCTTCAGAAGAAAACAACACAATTTTCTGTCGTAGTGCTTCTTTGAAAAAGGAAAATGTTTTTAGATGCTATAAGATGCATCTAAGTACATGTATGTATGATATTGGGCTAATCATACATGATGATGGGCTTACATTATATTATGTCAATAATCTTTTGCATATGATCTCTGAGCAAATACTGGGATGAATGGGGACTTACCTTAAAATGTTGGGCTGACTCCTTCCACCTTGTAGCCAACATGCAACTTTGGTTATTCTATATAGGTTATTTTATGCCAAAAATTATCAATTGCATAGTGATGCAGCTGAAAAATAGATTGCACACTTAGATTTCAAGACAAAGAAGACAATTCCACATTTTTCTGGCTCTTAAGTCTTTAAAAGAATGGTAAAAAAAATTTAAACAAATTTTGATGTCTGTCCTTGGTGCTGAACTGCTGTCCTCTATAACTTAGGAAAAAAATTCCATTATGACATGGCATTAAAGATGTGAAAAGGTGTAAAAAAAACACTTGTGTGTGAGAAGTGATAGCACTCTCAAACTGCTGCATATGTGTGTAAAAACCTCGTCCATATGCTGTTTCAAATTCATACCCAGTATCAAGTGGCTCTCTGACTACCGAGTGTCCATTACCCATCACTGCATGGCCACCAACCATAAATTGAATCTAAGGCTACTCTTTCAACAAGCTAACCCAACCTTATCTCATGGGTATCAATCAATTATGGTTTAAATATCTGGAAATTAAGCAAACAGCTATCCAAGAATGCCTCTTGCACCTTTCCACACCATTCGATATCAAAATAGCCCCTTACCATCTTTGTTAAGACTGCTGAATACAGTAAGTACTCTCCAAGCAGAGGCTTGGGTCTTGGCTAATATTTTAGTGTGTTTTGGGGCTTTTTATCATGCTTTCTTATTTTTACATTGGTCTTTTTCTTTATTGCATTGGTACCTTTTTATAAGCCTATCTAATCCAACAAAAAAGATTTAGCATTATATAATAATATAGCAAATAGCTGTACAAAATGGATTACACAATAGATGGTGGCAAAAATTCATCAACTATCTGTTGCCAAATGTAACCTTTAAAAATGCATACTTGCATATATTAACCTTTTAGTCAGACTGAATTGGAATTGGTTCTTAATACACCTTCAACCAATATTTTATCATGAATGTAGACTAAGTTACATTTTTCAATTAAAACTTAATTAATATATTTAAAAATGTAAATCTAGGGTATACTGTTTTTGACACCGTTTCTTTATTCAGAAATTTCAATGTACACACATATATGCAGACAAGGATATTGTGGCACTTGTGAGGTATATGTACATGATTATTAATGCATCTGTTTCACGTTAAAATCAAAATCAAATGTAGTAGGACAATGACCAGAAAAACTTAAAATGCTTGTCAATGTTAGGATTCTGAGAAAATATTATTACGTAGTGAATTCATTTCCTTTGTTTCAAGACTAGTAAATTTGTAAAAATATCCAAATCTTTTAATCTCTTTTGTTGTTGAAATAGAAAATTTCATAAGAAGTGCAAACATTATAATATTTCTCTGTCATAATATTGCATAGTGTATTCAAACCTGTGATTTTAACCTACATTACAATGTGTATTTACAGCAAACATACTAGTATATATATAAATTCTGAACTAAATCAAAGCCTTCATAACAAAACCTAGTAGAATCATGATTGTCTGTGCATTCTAAACAAAAAATTAAACAACTAAATTCAACATTTGAGAAGTTGGACCTCTATACACTCAGTCTGAGCTACATGTAAAATGGTTTGTCCCAAATTATCATGTATATAACTTACAGATGAAAAAAAAATCATGACTTGTTTTAACAAGAATCAAAATTTCATACACCGGTACTCAGGTATTTTACACTGAACATATCACATTGTACCAAATAAGCAGTAGAGATTATAACGAGCATTGTTGGGTTGGCACTTTATTTGCAAATGTCTACAAGTGTGCAATAAATTCTAGCATAGTTGGACCATTAATTCAGAGAAGTGTAATGTTTTGAGAAGTGAGTTTGAAGTTGTTTTCAAAACTTTCAAAACCATCATAAAGCTGCCTAGATTTACAAACACCCGCCATAAACACAAAAAGTTGTCGAATACAATGTAGATACAAATATATACTAGGCCTAGGAAAAACATTTTGTATTTCCTGACTGACCCTAGAAAAACCTGCCGCCCCTTACTTATTTTGGGGTGGACCTGCAAGAGGCAAGCTGATCGACCTTTTCTAGCTCCATGATCTGACACCTGAGTGATAAAATGTTGTACAATTGGTTTTCTAACATTGACATTGAAAACAAAAGTGTCATCATGCAAGTTTTTCTTTGTTAAACTGCATTGTATTAGTTGGACCCCTACATGTACATGTATATAGATATCACTGAAGTCTAAAAAGAAAAAAGAAAAAGATAATGCCTACCCACCGACCCTAATTTTTTCAGGAATGAAACAGGAAACACAACATTTTTTTCCTAGGCCCTACCTGAAATCAATCATTTTGATCAAGCAAACTCAACAACCTGAAAGATGAGGATGTGTCAGAAGTAGATGCAATCGTCAATGTCTGTCAGTTTTGATCCAAACAACTCCACCTCGTACTTGGACAACTGTCTCAGGAACCCCATGTTTGGTTGTGCGACTTGCCGTCGCTCTTTTAGAAAGTCGAAGGCGTCCTTCATCGTCCACTGCCGCTGTTTCATGAGATACGCTATCGTAACCGTCGAGCTGCGACTCACGCCGAGGTTACAGTGTACCAGAACACGTCCCCCGCTTTCAATCGCTTCTGCAATGAACTCTGTTGTTTTGGGTAGTAGCTGTGTGACGTTGGCAGACATGTCGTCGTCCACTCTGATGTTCATGTACCTTATGTAGATAGGGAAGGCGTTTTGGTGCTCCTTAGAAATGTTAACAATGTGAGAGATCCTTAGGTCACTTACGATCTTCTCATTGGTGGCTTGGTCACCACGCCCTTGGTACAAGGCACCCAGTACGATCTCCGAAGGGTAGTACGAGATGAGCGCCCTGCGGTCTGCAACACTAGCGACCATCTTGTCCGTACAGAGGAAGGGATACCTTTGCGAAAACTCCTCAAATCCGCCCACCAGAATTTCGGGCTCGTACTCTCGAGCTTTGATCTCCTTGTAAAGTTGGAACAGCTCGGAGGTGGGGGACAGATCACTGCTGTCACCGTACAGGACGATGTACACAAAGTGTTTCAACTGCCCGTCGTGAAGCAGGCAGCCGTAGTCCGTGTAGATCGCGTCTCCGGGTTTTGCCGTCACGATGTGCTTCTCAGCGTACGCAGCTTTCTCACGACAGTCCAGAATCAGCATGTACCTGGTGTCGAAGATGAAATGGCTCCCCATGGAGTCATTCATGTAGTTGAAGAGCTGTTGAGAAGTGCAGTAACCATCTTCCAATAAATCCTTCTCCGGTGGAACAGGCACCAAGAACTTTCCCCCTTGCTTCCCCCCCATTTCTGCAGACAAACTCTGAGCTAAAGATTCTGTTGTGGGGAATACATTGTCCCCAAAAGTTGTCTGGAAAGGACTTACATTTTCCGCTGGGACACTGTTTGGTGGATTGTTGTGTACTTTACCTGGGTTGTTTGCTGTGGCCGTCTCTTTCAGCTGTAAAATGCAAAGATAAACAAAGTCAGACTTAACTGGGTTTAGTAGGTTTACATACTAAGATAATTTACAGCCTTGAGTTGACAACTTTACAAGCTACATTGCTACATGTGTACATGTAAACTGCTGCAACGCTAATAATTGTAATGCTACAAGAAGGGCATGCCCATATCTTATGGGCACCACCCTATAGACAGAAATGTTTGAATATTAAACTTTCAATGATTATACGAGGGGGAAATGAAGGAAACCTGCGCAACAGCCGACTGATAATGATGATTGGAGACTTACAGTTGTACATTTGTATAGTTATACCATTATACTCGTAATCGTATGCACCATATACACAAATGTACATAATAATATGATTGTCATGATACTGTAAGCACTATCATTAGACTATTATGTATTAACCTCTGGTTGCTTGACAAATTCTGGTTCGTACGAGGCACCAATGGGGGAGGGGGGTGGACTGAAGTTCTTGGACGCCCTCCGTGAGCTCAGTACTTGTCCCATGCTGGAGGGTCCCACATATGGTGTACAGCAGGCAGGCTACATAAATCTGCAGAATAAGGGTAAAATGTATTATATTACAATTAGCCCTCTGAAGCTGACATATAGATGTAAACAGGCAGTGTAAAAATACCATTTTGACAGGGGCATTATGTAAGTATTTGTAACATTTGGTTGGAAAACTGAAAAGCTGTAATACCTGTTGGTCAGGTGACATGAACAATTGTCCTAACTCTGTTAACCTACTACATGTATTTGCATGTAAATGTAGGTTCCATGGAAACATAATTCCACTGTTCATCCCCCAGTGCCTTAGACTTTTAGAGTGATTTAGTTACCATGGTGACAAACAATACGGGTCGGCCCATTTACCGGAATGCACAGCAATGCACCAGACTACACTTAAAAGATGATTAAATTGGTAACGTTACATGTTTGTTTTTGCTTCTTGCGGTTCGCTTTTAAGTTTAAGTGTATTCCGGTGTATTCCGGTAAATAGGAGGACCACCATAATACCACAGTTGCAATCTACACAACTTTTTTCTATAAATTTCAACTGTGTTTACAACTGTTCAAAGCACACGGGTTCTAAAATTTCATATTTTGTTTTTGTTTCTAAACAAACGTCTTGAAACTGAGTTAATGGTTCAGTAACTAAGGTAAACTATGTAAGTATACTAGTAGTTTTATACAAGTTGTGAACTATGGCCATTTTTGAAAGAGTTCATTCTCTGCGATGACATGGAAAAAATCCCTTCACGTGTAACATAAACTTCGGAAAGACTATAATGTGCACTAACTATGGGTTGTCATGGCAACGCAGGGCGCATTTGGCACTATTTACTGTAAATGAGCTTTACGTAATTGTTTAGGCAAACAACAGGTGACCACCTCCATTTTCTCAAGTAACTCCCGTGCAAGCAAAGAACAAAATTACCCCCACAGAAAGACGCCCTGTCATCTAGAATGTTGCCTTATCAGTTCATCTTTAAGAATATTAGTTGTGGAATGGAAAACGAAGTCTTACCTCGCATGGTTTAGCAGTTTTTTCGTTGGAAAATGTGAGGAATTTTCTCGGAGAAAGTCAACCTTCATAAAGTCGACCTTTGCCCTTCCGCTGAAGATGATGCCACTATTGCTATAGGGGGTTTTCAGCGAGCATATGAATTAAAAAAGTTAATTATGATAAACATTGCATTTCATAAAATTTGGTAGTAAGTATAGATACGAATTTGTATCTTTTATTCATTGATATTTTCTATCTTTGTTTCATGTTTTCTCACACAATTATCTTGCAAAGTAACCCTATTTTGCTAAATACAACATTCTGGACTTCAGTACGCAGGCTCATGACCTGGCGACGCGGGAAAATCAGAAAATGTCCAAGTCGTGAATTCCGCGAATGTTTTTGATATAAACCCGTATTTTTTAGACCAAGATGGGAATACAGGGGCTACTACCGTTCCTAAAGGATGCCAGCACCCAAGTGAACGCGAAAATGTTCGCAGGCTACACGGTAAAGTGGGGAAATGCAGTAGGGGACTCAAGCTGGGTGGGGAGGGCAGCCCAAAATTTATAGATTACATAAATATTTATGATGATTCGATGTATTTATTTATCCGTCCATGAAGACGTTATTTTATCCATGTGTGGTTGTTTCCATTCTTCATATATTGCAAAATAACACGCCAAAAGAAGTTTTTGTTATGTATAACATTTTCTTAAAATGATCTTTTCCAGTGAAAATATAAAACAAAATGTCATAATAAATTATGCATAATTTTCTAGCATTCCAATCTGTGTTACTCTTGTAAAGTCTGAAATCATGTGCTTCCCTCCATCGCCATGCTAGTGATCTGCTCCCTCATGCTAAATTTTTTTAGAAAAACCCCTTCATTTATTTATCTATTTACTTACAGGTTGCAGTAGATGCATATTGCTGGATTTACCGTGGAGCGTTTGCCTGCGCCATGGACCTGGCGAGGGGTGAGAAGTCGGACATGTACGTGCGGTTTGTGCTGAAGTACGTGAACATGCTCCTGTCCCACGGCGTCAGACCCGTGCTCGTGTTTGACGGGTGTAACCTGCCGTCCAAGCAGGGCGTGGAGGACTCGCGCAGGGAGAGGAAACAGTTGTACCTGCAGAAGGGAAAACAGTTCCTAAGGGATGGAAACTCAGCACAGGTAAAACTGAAGTCTGACAGATCCACATTGTTTGTTGTCCATAGTAGTACCATAGTTCTTACTACTACTAGTAGGCTGTTTGAGTGTAGGGGCCCCCTACACTGTGATTTGTACCCCCTACACCAGGCCTACACAATGATTTAGCCCCTATACTTTCAACCAGCATAGGGGTTTCTTTTGAAGGAAAACCTTGTGACCCTTCATAAATCCTTTAAAAAAAATAAAAATTTGACTTAAAGATGAAGATTTAACAAAGGGAAAACATAAGTTTAAAATACTTCTTCCTCATTAGCAGTAAATAGGGGTTTGGGCACAATACCAGACCTCCTGCTGTGGCCATTTTTTGAGACACAGCGCTCGGCTTGCACCACAGAAAGTTGCCCTACGCTGTGAAAAAATTCTGTTGCCATGTCTCACGTAAGCCTCTGCGCATAAAAGAACCTATCAAATGAGTTGGGTGACCCGATGTGTTTGGCTGCACCTAACACAACAGTTTATACGTTCAAGTACACATTGTGTGAAAATAAAAGACATTAGACTATTAGACAACTGTTGTTATTGTGCTTTCCTCATGTAGGCCAGAGAGTGTTTCCAGAAGTGCATCAACGTGACACCACAGATGGCCCATGAGGTGATGGAGGCGTGTCGTGCCGTCGGCGTGGACTGTATCGTGGCGCCGTACGAGGCCGACGCCCAGCTGGCATACCTCAACAAGTGTGGGATAGCTCAGGTATAGCTTTGTCCATGTTTGTATCCAATACATGATGTTTCTTACATGATGTATACATTACTGTTTTTCTCTGTAGTGATGGAAGTAGAAGTTTTGCCTGGCAACTTACTCCATTGTTTTGCTGCAAAATTCTGAGAACCAGACAATTGAATTGATGGGGCCTCTTACAAAATTTATAGATAAAAATGCTGTAAGAAATGTCTATAGAGTGCACATATAGGTTACCCTTGTTTTGCATGCCTTAAATATTTTGAATGTTGCTAAAATTTTAATTGCCTACTATTGTAAGACTTATTTTTACGAAGTAAAACCATACCTTGTTTTTCTCTTTGTGTGTTTACCAGGCCGTGATCACAGAGGATTCGGATCTCTTGGCCTTTGGCTGTGATCGTGTGATCTTCAAACTGGATCTGAACGGCAACGGGATGATGATCGAGAAACATCGCCTGTCTCAGTGTCTCAAAATCAAGGCTCAAAACTTCACCTTCGACAAGTTTAGGTCAGGAAACTGCAGATTTATTCATGACTATAGCAGGGCTTGAAATACTGGGTGCATACCTGTATCTAAACCTGTGTACCTGTACCTGTACCTGTACCTGAATTTTGTTTCAGTACGCAGCTCTTACCATTAATGTATGGCTTATTTTCCAGGTACATGTGTATACTGTGTGGTTGTGATTACCTTCCATCATTACATGGTATCGGTCCCGCCAAAGCAGCAAAACTCCTCTCTCTGACCAACCAATCCGACATGACGAAGGTCCTGCGTAAGATCGGATCCTACCTGAAGTCCAGTATCGTGGCGCCGGCAGAATACATCGAGGGGTTTGTTAAGGCAGACAACACGTTCTTGTACCAGCTTGCTTTCGATCCCATGAAGAAAGAGGTTGTACCACTACACGAGTACCCACCAGGCATAACTGCAACAGACATGCCGTACGCAGGGGAGTATAAACCACTAAAGCTTGCCCTTGGCATGGCACTGGGTAACATAGACATCCATACAGGAGACACTGTAGGGGATTTCAACCCACTCACTTACAAACAACCCCCTTCTGCTACATGGCAGGGTCCGAAAAATGTTACAGCAAGCACGCCACGACATAAGCTCAGTATGTGGCACCCAGACTACAAGACTGGACCAAAGTTCGGCACTCTGGATCTGAAAGAGGTGAAGACTGCGTTTACTAAAGGAAAAGAAGTGACCGTCCAAGCACCAACTTTCCTGAAAAAGCCTGAAGCAAAACCCGTGGAGTCTACAGACGTATGCACTGACAGCGAATTGGCTGCTATGTACGGCTCGCCACCTAACTCAACCAAGAGAGAGAGGAAAACTTGTGTGCCAGACAAAAGTGGAAATTCTAAACTCAGGAAAAGGTTGTCTGTGATCAGACCAGGTAGTTCTGCAGACTCCACCAGTGGGTCTATAGTTGTCAGCAGGCATTTCCCAAACTCCTACCAGCAAGCTGTGAAAGACCTTCAAAGTAAGAGAAACAATTCTGAGGACAAGCAAGACACATTGTTAGATGTGATTGACAAAGACTGTGCTTCAGAGGACCCTTCAAAGTCGGTAGATGACATCTTTAGTGAGGAGAAAGAAGAAGACACCAGTTTGGAAGAAAAGACGCCATCTTGGAAGGGGAAACTGCAGATCTTCGAAAGACAAGGGAAGATGGGGAACCATACTGACAGCAGTCCAAAAGCAGAGAAGAGGAAAAGAGATCTTTCAGAAGATGAAGAGGAGAAAGAGACAAGTAGCCCTGAAAATGAGCCAAGCCTTGGCACGTCAGAACCATCTGTGGATAGTAGCTTAGTGCATACACTTAGCAAACAAAATGAGTCGCTCAGTCAAGTGCCACAGAAAGGAACTCCTAAGAACCCATTCAGAGTTGCCACCCCAAAACAAGGCAGTGCTTTCAGTTGGGGAAGGTCTTCAGAAAAACACATCAGCCTCAAGACTTCTGTCTCAAGCCTTGGACGGTTTAAATATGCCAGTGTGTCAGAAGCTAAAAGGAAGAAGACCTCACAAGTAGAAGTAAACAAGATGACAAGCTCACAAGAAGAAGTAAACAAGACAACAAGTTCGCAAGAGTTGAACGCTGGATCAACAGAGGAAGAATCACTGACAAAATCACCAGTTGACAATAGCTCGTTGAAACCATTGCCAGTAGAAGCAAGTTTCAGTGGTTTTGATAACTGTTCGGTGTATTCCATGGATAACTTTACCCCAACAGACAGCCAGAACTCAGGAACGACAAGCTTCTCACAGGGATCTCAGTACTTCACTGCATCAGAAGGGAATAACAGTCAGGTTTCCACTGCTGAAATGTCCCAAACTTCAGAAGACACAAGCAAAGAAGACATTGCCCAAATCAAAGTCGAACCACAACAGGCAGTTTCTAGTCAACAAGGCGAAGGAAGTAGGGAAGAAAAGGCCATTGAAAGTTTGACCAGGGAAAAACAAATGGCTAGAAGCTACAATGTTTCAGAGCAAGTGTCGTCATACTTTGGAAAGACACCATTGCCCAGCATGGTTCATACTGCCCCGGAACAGAGAGCTGTGGTGCAGGACATGGGAAGGAGAGCTATGGAGGATGGTGTCAGTACACCAAGGGTGGTGAAACCAAGCAGAGGTATGGCTGGATAATTACTGCATAAAGATGATCAAATCATTCAAGTAATGTAGAATTGGCAGATAATGCCCTTATGTTACATTTTTGGACAGGTAGGAAATCCATGTTGTTATAAATATAAGAATATGGTTAAAAAGGATCAAACCTTGTTGCTAGCATGATTGACACTCCGGATTGACTCTTTGTTTTACCTGCACTGCAGGTAAATCCCGGCAGGTGGGGCTGTCAAGACGCTCCTGTCCCAGTCAGACCAAGAGGAAGACCAACAATGAGAACAGCAGTACTCAGCCTAAAATCAGCAACTTCCTACAGACCTTCAGCTTCAAAAAAGGTAAGACATTCTCTTGCATTGTTATTATTATGTTTGCCGTATGTTATCATGTTTTCTGTTGATATGCGAATGAACAAAATGTACATATATTATTTATCATACAAGTCTATGCTATGATGTTTACTTTCAATTGTGCACGTTTATGTATGTTCAAGTTGATATGGTGTAATATAATGTTTCAAAATCTTCCTAGTCAAGACAGTAAAATATATGAACAATTCCTCTTTTATGCAAACAGGTACATGCCAAATTTTCATTCACACCTTTTCCATACTTTTCATCAAGATCATACCACTTCTTTCTAGGGTCCAGCCAGAAGAATAAAGAAGAACCCGTCAGAAAACCCATGTCCCCGTCCAAGAGTAACGTGGTGTTAGAGTGCACCCCGGAGACTGAACCCGGTATTGCAGCCAGCCTGAACGCAGCCAAAGTCAAACGCAACATTTTTGATGGATAGTAGATTTTACTGGAACAAAGTAGTTTAATTTTTTTAAACTCTTTTTGTTAAGTGACTACATGAATGCTTAATCCAATTAGGTGCTAGTAAGTTTCAAAATAGTCCTGAAAAAATTAGGATCGGAAGGTAGGGATTATCTTTTTTCTTTCTTTTTATTTAGACTTCAGTGATACCTATATAGTGATCCAACTTATACAAAACAATGTAAAACTTGCATCAGGACACTTTATTTTCAATGTCAGTGTTAGTAAACCAATGAAACAGGAAACACAACATTTTTGTCCTAGGTCTAACCAGCCAGAACCAATCAGAATTGTTGAAAAACCAGAAAACAATATTTTTCTTTTCTTACATTTAAGTAACATTCATATGAGTATTGTGTGAGACAAAGTTGTCAGTATTGCAATAAAGTTATCATTTACTTTTGATCATATTTAAGTCAAGAACAATGATTAAAAACATTACATAGTGAATCCTTGCTAGCATGAAAAATAAAGGACTACCTTTTGCACTATTATGATTTTTTTATGAAGATGAAATAAAGAAAGTAGGTATTAATGTACATGTAGTTGAGTAGTTTCTTTCTTTAAATTTATTGTGAAAGTAAGTCAAGAAAGGTACAGCGGATCTTCATTTTTAGCATGTAGGTAGATTTTACAGAATTCCACATGATTAAGTTGACATTTGCATTATTGACCAGGAAATTCTATAATATTTCAAGTTGAAATGTAAGTGACATCTACATGTACTGTGGCAACAGTGTGAGGTTCACGCACTGCCGAACTGCAATGATTACTTCAACAGCTAGGGGTCCCCACTGACTAGTCGGTTAACTTTCAAAACTATCATCTACAGGAATAGAAGCATCTGTTATTTGGCGCCAGATGTAATTGCGTAACGAGAAACAAATTCTGTCAGCCACGATTTCTACTCATTGCCGCCACCCACGCCTTAAAGATTATTATTAAAACTTACAGCGTACAAAATTCCCCAGATCTTTTCTTTATTGTTTTAATCCTGTATCCCTAAGTGTTATCGACGAATTCCTCATCAGTCTTGTTCCTGACGTGTCATGTGCCCGTTAAAATGTCTCTCCCTGCGATGTGTCTAGTTAAGAAGTCCTTAAAGTTGGTTTATACACCTTGTTACTTCGGACAGGTGACACTATACAGGAAACAGGCTCTTGTAAACAAGACGGAATGTTATCTTCTCTTTTGACACAAAAGGCACACGGAAAAGAGCTTGGAAAAATACACAAGAAGTCTTTTCGCTAGGGTACATGAAATGTAACGACTGCCCGATAGGCTATTTCTGGTTTGCCAAGCGCAGGTATTTTCATAAGAACCGTATTCAAGCATCACTCAGAGTGAAACAAGAGTTCCACGATTCCATACCTTCGCCAAATCCGAAGTTCTGCAGCACCTAAGAAAGCCACCAAAGAAGTGCCTAGGAAAGCCACCAGGGACCCAAAATCTAATCAATTTTAGGTTTCATTAAGACCTACCCACCTACCAAGTTTCATGACAATCCATCTTAAGCTTCTTGAGTTATCGTGTCAAACCACATACATACACACATACGTACATATATACACGTGACGTACTTAACACATGCACAAACGCTACGGAAAGGCATAGTCTTCTTGGCGAAGGTAATACGTTGTGCAGAAAAGATCGGAGGAGAGCAGTATTTCATTTGTTAACCTATCAGTTCTGTTTCTGTTCTTTCTCTTACATTTACGCCAACCTGTATCATGCAAAAATACAGAACACAAAAGACCCTTCCCGTACATATAACTGCAGTCACAATCTTTTATTCGTGACCCCCTTCGTTAAATCAACTATATTTACCAGAACCCAGTCACCACTCCATTTTGTTACTGTGTCTATAGACCATAGAACTTTACAACTATGTACGATGTAGAATAAACACTTCCACTGCCCGGTACATGTTGTATACATGGCACTTCAGTCCTGGAAAGATATTTACGAACATCAATTGAAACACCCCAGAGCTAGCGCCCCACAAAAACACTTCTGCTATACATAGTAACACAAACTCTCATTGTCAGCCCGCCAGGCACCAGGAGCGTTAGTTAGTCATTGCTACCCATCTAACAGAAATCTACCATATAGCAGTACTATCAATGTCACCGAATTCGGTTGGATGGTCTGAGTATTTTAGTATACTTAAGAAATAATAAGTTACATAAGCGTCTCTTTTTTTTTCAAAAGTGCTATACAGAATAACATCATGCATTTTTTAAATTATGCCTTGGCTTGTTTTTGTCATGTATAACGTGAATATAGTAGTTTGTAGAAGATAACATTGTGCGCGACGGTGGAAAACACGTGTTAGTTGCAGACGTCTGTCAGTGTTGTTAAGCAAATAAGTCTTTGTTCTCTTGACAGTCAGTTGTTCGATGTCCGCACGTTTCTTCCTTTTTGGATCTTCAGCTGTAAACTTGCGACGTCTTGGCGTCGTTATTTCTTGAGAAGTCAGTCTCAGACTCTCTCACCACATCAGGGAGTTCTTTAGACATCACGCTAAGGAAGAGGTGAATAAAAAAAAAACATCGTCGATAATCTTTTAAAATTTTTTTCTGGCTTCTAAAGAGTGAAAAAAAGCTGATACAAGGTATGCGTGTCTAGATTTCTTAGGTAGCATTTTGTCCATGACTTACAGTTACTGTGAGATGCCTTACGGACAATCTTATTCTTAGAAGAAGAGGTTGCCATCTAGATGTCTATGCCTTTTTGGTGCTATCTTGAAGCTTGTTCCAATCAGTGTTTTCTGTTGATATACTGCCTTTTTAGTAACGAATTAGCCCTTTCTTTACCTTTCCTGTAAAGACGATTTTATTATAGTAAAATGCTCGATTAAAATTTTTACCGGACACATTTGCGACGCGTTCAAGCTATCTTCTTTAGCATGTATACAGCACTGGTATTGCGATATATTTCTAGACAAGAAAGTGCAATGTTTAACATATGATTTTTCACATATAAAAAAAAAAGAATGGCAATGAAGACAAAAGTTTAAAGACTTACATGTCGGTAGACTTCTTCTTTCGGATACCGGTCCGGGAAGACTTCGCGCGTCTTCGGGTCGAGTCGGACTTCAGCAGTCGGTTGAAAGAAACGCCGAACGCAGCGTCCGTCAGTCCCGTCATAGCAGACATCTTTCCCGCCAAAAGAAAATCCTCAAAATCCTCAAAAGTCGATAAAAATGAATAATCCTCTCGGTGTATAACCACGGAAAAGACAACCTGATGTACTTGTGGTCGCTACAAGGGCGTTGTGTGATGTAAAACTCGTGCCTCCAATCTTAGTATGAACGGCTCACGTCCCCAAGAGTACCAGTGCGAACTATCCTGCCTTGTGACACATCCCAGCACTGTAAGACCTATTTAGAGCGAGCGCGTCAGCGACAGACTTTCGTGAATAATGAGGAAGGCTTTTAGAGGATTTTTCTACCCGCCGTAAGAGGAATTTTATGACTTTATCGTTTGCCGTTGCTATCGTCAACCGACAGTTTGTAAACGCCCACTGAGACAACACGTCTGGTACCCTTCTGTTCTTTCTGACTCCGCCCACTCTGTGACGTAATTAGGTGTTCCCTCTTATTTCTTCTCTAGACAGGAAGTTGGCGTTATATATACACAGTTGAAATTGGGTGCGACAGAACAATGACTTCTTTCTACTTAGGTAATGTAAAAGAAAAGTCAATGTTTGCATACGCTTTCAAGTCCTTGGTACGGTCTATGTACGTAATGAGGCATGTGCATCATCGAACGTGTGTTACGTCAGACTTCCTTGGTTACATACATTTGTATGTATGAGGCATAGTTACCACCCCTACATTGTTGTGCCTTTGTGATTTTATGGGTGTGGATTATTTATGATGTCGTTACACTTGAACTTTATTGCAGGTAACATGTAACTATAGACCAACACGATAGAATTAAGAACATTCGGCGTACAAAAATCCTTGCCTTTAATGTAACTAAGCCGTAGCATCAGGTTGTTTCTGTGCCACGTCACTTGTTAACGCCCAGTCTACATAGACGACACAGCGTCCGTGGACGAACAGACCTGAAAGGACTCAAAAGTGAAATGTTTGATCAGAGGTGAACGACCTCACGTTCGGCTGTCCTGTTACGTAGGCTCTAGTGTGACGCAATTAAGAATTGCGCAATCAGTTCAGGTTGCGATGTTATGAACCATTGATCAGATGAATGAGTAACCCTGAAAAATGTGCTATCTTGGTCCAGGAAAGGTCAATGACCTCACGTTCGGGAGACCTGTCAGTCCAAGCAGATATTGGAAGGCAAATTCGTAACGTTTCCGTCATATTCGTTACAGACTTGCTTATTATGCCATGATGATCATCAAATGTTGCCTTCTGGCCTCTTCTTGGTCACTTAGAAAATGCTTTCGGGGGTAGAAGGTTGAGAAGGAAAAGAGAAACTTTGTGCGAATACATCCTGGAATGGTTTGTGCGATTCTGGGCGTACTACTGCTACCAAGGAGGTTCGTTGAACAGTCTGACGTGAGCAGAACAGGGCAGTGCAGGCACACCCTCTTGCGGAATGTTCATGAAGTGCACACAATCGAACGAAAAACATGGCGGACGCTGCTGCACGGAGGGAGGCCAGGCGCAGGAAAATCCTGCAAAATTCAGAGGCTAGGCTGAAAAAACTTGCCAATATCGAACACAACAAGCAAGGTATGACTTCAAAGGGGTGTACGGTGGACAGTGCCAATAGTTTGGAGAGAAATACAACGCAGATTGTGCATATGATTTTCTAAGTTGTGGGAGGGGGGCGTTCATTTTTATATCAGCATGCCAAAAACATGCCGGCATATCTTCCATACAGGACAGCGCACGTGAAGATATCGGAGCCATGTCTAGTCTACAAATAACCACACTTGACCTCTCTTAACACTAGAGTCCTTTTACAGCATTTAACAGTATAAACTGATGGGCGATATCAATCAAATCATACTACTAGAAAGATAGATTTGCAAATCAAGTGCATTATGTTTACCTTCATATGACCCAGCAGCTCTGTTCTTTATTGATACTCAAACACGTTAATATATACATATGCTGCCGATGCGCCAATGCCGGTCCTCTTGAAGTATGAATTTCTGCATGGCACTTGTAACATTATGTAGCCCAACACCAGTTACCATGGTGAGAGACGTCTGGTCCTGGTCAATCACCTTATATAGTGTTTAGGACGGGAGAAGAAAAAGAAACTGAGCAAAACAATATGTATATAACTTGTAATATGATTAATGTAAATAAAACAAAGGCAGAAGTCATATATTCTGTATAGACATTTGACAATCTGTTTTTGTTGCAGATATTCAGAATGAAGATGTGAAGGAGACTGACTCTACTACAAAAGACTCCCAGGCAACATTTTCACACTCATCAGTTAAACACACAAGAAATAATGAAGACTTCACACAATATAAATCTTCAACCAGAGACATCAGCAGATCTTCAGAAGATGGATCCATGAACACAGAAAAACTGACAAGAGAAGAAGATGTGACCACTACGAGAGGCGGCTTTCATACGACAAGGAAAAACTCAGAACCGAAAAGCCAAGACAGCAGCAACATTCCTGAGTCTTTAAATGGGGTTAACGTAGGGTTGTCTGGTATAGAGAACTGGATACAGGAGGATGATGTGAGCCAGTCTGAGGAAGGGTCCTGGCATGGTCGTCTGAAACACATGTTTCTCCTTGTGTTCGCTGTGCTAGTGAGGTGTATACTCGCATGTGAAGGTTTACAAGCTGTAGTGATGAAGGTAAGAGCACTAGTGTGTCTAGGCTTAGGAACAAAATGATGTGTTTCCTGTTACCTGGAAAAAATTAGGGTTGGTTCCTACTCGGCTATGCCATTCTGTACATGTGATTTTATGCGAATTCATGGTCCCCTAAATTCTCCTTTCTTTATCTTACAGTCAGCAGTTATCCCCTTCCTCATGCTGCAGTGTTGTGTAGTGGGTTTTGACATCTTGATCAGAAAGGTAAGTTCTACCTACCTGGACTAAAATATCAATGTAAATTTTTAGTTCAGTCTGCCATTGGTAGATAATCTATTGGAAAATAACACCCTCCACACTTTAGGCTCCTTTGAAAGTTTAAAAGTTTAGATTGAAACATTTTTATGTTTACCTTCGCAGAAGTGAAACATACTGTTTTTGCTCAGTTTCTTCTTCTTCTTCCATTCCAAACAAATAAAGTCAATGACCTGGGCCAGACGTCTGTCACCGTGGTAACTTGTGCTGTAGCAACACCTTGTGGTGTTGGGTTACATTATGTAGCAGAACGGGGCTGGGGAGCCGGGGAGCCTGCTCACCATACACATGAATATTTGTATTTGACTTTGAGTAACAATAAACAGTGCAGTAGTTTGTTGTGCTAGACCAGGTGAAGGTGAACATTATGCAGTTGCTTTGCAAATGTTACTTTTCATGTTCATATATATTTTTTTTTTTTTTGCACAGGGCTCTCCAACAGCACAACCAACCATGTCCCTCCTGGGCACAGCTCTGGTCCTGACTGGTGTTTCCAAGGTGACCATCACCATGGTAACCAAAACAACAACATACCTGACAGCCATGCTGTCAGACTTTGCCTGGTACATGTTTGTATTCCTGGTAACTCATAGTGTGTTAGAAACAATTGGTTAATCATAAAGAAAAGAAAGACTACAAATGTGTACAAAAATTGACTTCCTGGAGAAAGTCCTTAACAAGAAGTATGTAGACATTTATATAGTAGTATTTTATATAGTAGTTTTTAGTATATAGAGCAATATCAGTCCCTATAGAGTGCAATTCATAAATATATGTAAGCACAAAAGGTCATGTGTGTTAGTAGAAGTGACATTATTAACATAAGAAAATGATTTGAAAGTTAGTGTTCCTTAGAATTATGTTCCATAATAGAAATGAATGTACGGGTACTATATGTAATTGTAGGCTGTGTATAACAAATTTCATCATTCATGACTTAACCAGGCATTGCATATATATTTGTACAGGAAAAATTACAGGAAAAAAGGACATTTAATTGTTGAATGTAAAAGTAATGTGCTGTATGATGGAAAAAGTGGTTATGACTTTGCTAGTTTATGAATAACACAAATGTGTGCAGTGTAAAATCAATATGTAGGTTATATGGGAAGCAGCGTTATTAAAAATCACTGGCAATATAAAGTACATGCTACTACAATCCATAGACATTCTTTTATGAGCTTTAAATCGTAAATAAATGCAATAGACGTGTGGTAAGAGTAAAAATAGGTTTGGGGGTAGGGGTAGTATGTGTTGTATTCTTACTGTATAGTGTATACCAACCATTGATGGAGCTGTGGATGCTAGGGTTAAGGGACAAAATACAATGTATCTTGAATAGTTGCAATGGAGTCATAAAGTTTGTTGTGTATTGTACATACCTCACAAAATGTCATGGTTCATCCCTTACATATACTTTAATCCTATGAAAATCATATATAGATATACTATATGTTCAATGTATATACTTTATTTCATGGTTTTGAAAACATCATAGAATATTTCTATGTGTATTTAACCCATACCATGCTGTAAGCCATGCAAAGATGTAGTGGGAATAAAGTTACAAACACATGTAATGTATTGTTTGTTAGTATTGTATGTTCATTAACGCAAGTTGTGCTGATGATGCTCTAAATCATTGGATTCAGCATAATGTACGTTCACAACGTCTTGGAGCATATCAAACGTGCAGATTGATAAGGTAACCATGGGATAATAAAATACAATAAAATATAGAAATAGAGAAATTGAGATTTTCCTTGTGCCCTTTAGGACCCTTTAGACGTTGTCCAATCAAACACGAGGCGCACCATGCGGTGGAGAACGGTACTGCAATTGCATAACTCAAACAACATGGATGCCACAAATTAATTAATAGCAATGTGTTGATGAAGCTATCCAACACAAAGTGTACGCTCAAGGTGGTTTGGACATGCCAGGTGGTCATAGATTAAGAGTAGAAGCCATCTGGACTAACTAACGTCAATATTGATGTCAAAACGCAATCTTGGCCTAGAAAATATACACTAAATCTTCCAACATTATCGCGAAGGCACTTGTAAAATGTTGCTCTGCTTACGCCAAAATCACTCGCCCATATGTCGTACCAGATATAGCCTCGCACATATAGCCGGCGGCCTCTTGGGACAGGTGGTGTTAAGCAGATAACGACACGCAGCTGTCAGCCTCGTTAGTGACAGTACGGCCTACGGGGACAGTAAATAACTAGGCTATACGCAGATCCACGAACTGCATAGCTTTAGTCCACCAGACTCATTGGCAGGCTGAATAAATGGTAGAAATCGGCCTAAAAGGGGGATTTAATTGGCCAGAGGTGTTGGCCGGCCAGAGAGGGTCCATTTGCCTACACAGACCCTCTCTGGCTGGCCATCTCCTCTGGCGAATTAAATCCCTTTTTAGACCGATTTCTACTATCTATTCAGCCTGCAAAGGAGTCTGGTGGAGACTAGCATAGCTTGCACGTCATCGCCTGCGTACCGCTCGTTAGAAACGTATATAACTATTCCATTAATCCAAATTAGTGTGGGAAAGGCGATAGCACTCTGCCCTCGTGTATTTTGGTCCAGGGTGCGCCGGCTGCGTCCGACCAATAGCCGGGCTCAGAACTCAGCCCTTTCCGTCACTTCCAAGGGCGGGTCCGCATTCGTGTGGTCGTGCCAAAGTTATCTCTCTTACTCACCATTCCTTTAACATTCGCAGTTCGCCGCTTATGTACCACACGGCTTCGCTTGGATAAATACTGGCGCTGCAGATAGTTCGCTCACACAGGGATACCCGGCCCCAGGTCTTGTTACCGCCAAGCAACTTTCCATAAGGAAAAAGGACCACCGATTTGGAATACCATCGCTCCAAGGCACCCTTAAACAGAGGAAAATATGTCGGGCCGACAAGTACAGATTACATCGTACAAAACAAGCTCTGGTGGTGGAAGGTAAGTCTCTCTTTTTGTCCATATAATCTCCATCATTATAAGGCATCGCTGTGAATAGTATACCGCAGATCATTTAGTACCTGGAATTACAAGTCACAGAGAAGATGTCAAAATACCAGTCTTCGCTGTACAAGACGTTTCTTCCACCAAAAGATGAATCCAGGTTTGCCCCTAGTCAGACATAGTAGTTTTATCTCTGTCTGTGCATGAGTAAAATGCAATATAGAATTCATTAGAATCAACGTTTCAGAATATTCTAAAATTATTTCACTTAATGACTCTAAATTCTAAGGATTTAGTTGACGCACTACCTAAGGCAACAGTCCAAGCGAAGAGTCTACTTTAAGTTTCTGACATTTCTGAGTAACAGCTCGAAGATGTGGCATCCTGATACAAGGTCATTTAAGACGAGAGAACGTCCCCCCGCCAATGACAGAAATTCGCGGTACGTCGCCTGGCTGGTATCGCTAAATATGGCGCAATGTTGGCGGCCTCACCACCCCGTATGTTGACACCCGGGGTCAATTTTTGGAGACACATGGCTATAAATGTCCCCTGTACTTAAATAGACGGGACTTGACGGTAATATGCCTCATGGTTAATCATATATACCTCTCCTCGTGTAGCACAAATAACCGTTACAGTCGTAAGTGAAGATTAGACATCCAGGTAATAAGACACGCCAAAAAACAGTTACGCAAGGAATTGGCTATGATTTTAGACGTTTATTTCAGATAGCATCCACTACCTTTCGCCAATGACACTGGAGACGTTTCAGAATTCGTATCAATTCAAATTATTTACAGACATTACTAGATTCACTGTCTTTATATAACTGCTGTAACTTTGCTTTGGCAAAATATAAGAGAAGTATTTCTTGCAACCGTGAATGCTGGTTCTGAAGGTTCGTATGTTTTGTTGATGAACAGTGAATGATACAAATGTAAAACCAAATTATCACCACTAGTGGTTCTCTAAATATAACCAATGATCTTGAACATCTCATCGATGTATTGACCAGATAAGATGCCATATCATTTTAATAGTTTCAGGTAATTATCTTTGTGTGTGTATCATATAATTAGAATTATAGCTATAAGTGCAACGAATCATTATTGCAATAAGAAACTGTATTTATAACTCTTTTGAAAATTAGAGACCAAATATTTATACCATCTGTTTCGCGTCTGGTCTTTCGACTGTCAACAGAGGAACTCCTTGCGATGTTCTTATCGTCTCGGAATGTCCGAGCAAGCTGCTAAGAGCGGGAGTCTTAAAGTAGCAACTAAGAAAAATCCACCACGCGGCATAGCTTATAAGGGACACTTCCGTGATCTTGTCAGCGTTGCATCCTTTCTATATATATCGGTATATGTTGATATCGGTTGATCTGTTTCTAACAGTAAAACATTTTTAAAAGACAACAAATAATTTCAGCCGCCGTAGCCGAAAAGATATAATAAGTAACCGTTTGAATTTTAGTCTAAGTTATATACATGGTAAAGATATATTAGTAAGTGAAACGCGATTAGCTGTAAGATATACCATTAAATGTTCTGTTTACACTGCTACAAGTTAAGTGTGATCAAATCATCTTTGTTAATGTAGTTACCCTATATAAATAGTACCTTGGCATTCGGTAGTAGACTAGCATATAGCTATATGACAAAATAAAGAATTTAGTTGTTTATTTTTTGAGATATCAATGGTATGTTCTGTCCACTCCCTATGTCTAAACCGGTCCCAACTCTTCTATTACACCTACAAAGATATGAGTGCGTCTAAAAATAGGCTAGATGTCCTCATTCGCTACATTAGGAAGCAAACAAGTCCTATCTGGTGCGGGCAATAGTAAACAGATCAGGCATCCAAGGGTGAGGGGTCGACAAGTGGTGATCACTGAGAGCACGACGCCACATGGCAGGTCAACGAGCTGGTCAATGTAACCTTATTTCTCAACCTATGCAAATACAAACTGTTCCAGATACTAGTAGGCCGCACAAGTAATGTTTATGGATGACGTCCTCGCGGGCATTGATTTTGGCCTGTTTCCAGAAAAAAAGGACCGCTTCCTGTAACTATAACCAAAGAGTCACGACCGTGGGATATGGGAAGATGTAATGAAAGGAAAGGAACAGGACAGGACAACAACTACTGGTCATCAGTGATTTATTGCAATTTTCATGATGAATAAAAGACTTGTTGGTTGTTCTCTCAATCAATTTGTGTCCTAACATTTGTCGTCCCTTAGTAAATTTCAAATCTAGGCATCTTGTTTTTATTTCGGCCCTTCTTGTTTTTTTTTGCGCTCTCGCATTAGCTTTAGGGTCTCTAGAGGACGTCATCCATAAAAATTACTTTGTATGCCCTGAAGTTGAGCTAGTAAATCACGTAAGGATAGCAGCAAGGAAGGAGGCGTGAAATTACTACTATCGATCTCCAGATGGACCAGTCTCAGTGTTTTAATACTAAGTAGGCATAAGACTGACCGTCATTTTATGATCAACTTTTATCATGCTAAACGATACTATAAAGATTAATCTGTGTTTATCCTTTCTTATTTATTATTATCATTTTGTCTCGAATAGAGAAGTTCTTTTATGTCGTTATGTGATTATACTCTATTTTCTAATGTCTAGTGAGGATTTCAACAACATTATATTTCAATATCACTTGTCAAAAATTAAATTATGTCATTAGAGAAAGCTAAACTCAGTCCCTATGATGATTGTGTTGTTTTTTTCCAGACCGGGGGAGTCCATGACTACGAGCGAGCGCCATGTGTACAGTTCGTCTTCAGAGTCGTACGTGAAGGAGACAGGAGGCATGAAGATGCGCGGATCGTACAATGTCCAGTCCTCAAGTTTCTCATCCGGGAGCTTCGGAGGTACAGAGGTTATTGTTACCTGTCAATCATGTGGCTCATCTGAAAGCTGATTGGTCGAAAGTTTAACACTGTCAAAAATCAATCTAAACAGATTATCCGATGACGTTATCCCAATGACACATGATATAGACGGATAATTTGAAGCAAGACTGCAGGACCACCCCGACTGCTGGACCAACATATTATTATGAAAAAGTAACTGAAGTAAATATCAATGTTCAATTCTCAACCACTTGTTAACAAGAGCCGACGTTTGGATGACCGTCTGTCATCTACATAACGGCGATTCTGGCTGGTTTACTGTGAATATTGTACAACTTTGATATTCAATCATTCACCCTACCTACATACCTACTGTCCCTTGACCTATTCCTGGCCGTGGGGGGGGGGGTGTGGCAGGAATAGGCCTGATGAAATTATTTGCTGAAAAACTGATGTGGTTTCTTTACAGTTGCAATGCTCACTTATGATGTACACGTTAATAATCTTGTGTTTCTCTTTAATAAGTTATTTGTTGTGCTAAGAAAGATAATGCTTTTGTCCTTCGCTTCGTTTTGCACATTTCAAACTGGCTATACGACGGACTTCCAGTGACAAACGGAATAACATCACGACTTCGTAACTATTTTTGCAGCTTTTAGCCAAGGATTCTCCGACGACTTCCCTAGCTTGTCCAAGGGTATGTTTCTATTTGGTTCCTGTTATGCCTAAACTCAGCACGAAAACAGAAATGGGGGGAAATGGGAACACCTTTGTTTCTACTAAATAAAACTCACAAAACACCCCTCAAACAAGGTGACTTTCGTATACTAACACTACAAATGTACACTGCTTGGAATACAGGGTTTTTACATTTGTACATTTCATCATTAAAAAAGCTGACGTTTTGTTTTGATACCTCCAAGCGACCTAAATGGACTGTACTACTTCTTGCCGCAAGGTGGCGTTGTGGCAAGGATGCAGTCCCAAACGTGACAGTGCATATACCTCCCCACCTCAGTTTATAACATAAGAACCCTATATTCCCTTGATTCACTAACACGATGAAGCTATGTACGGAAGTACAACACTGCTTGTTGTTTCTGAGAATAAAGTCACACATCAACGATCTGTCACACAGCAAGACCACTGTGATTGTTAAAATGCGTACATATGTCAAATATGTAAGGTTTGAGTTAGAACAAAGGGTTGAAGCCGACTATCCTGAGTAACATGGTTCCACGACAGTTTGAGAACAACAGAAACAAATGGAAACTGTAGATATTCAATTGCAACAATGTAGTTGACGGTGACATTGCTAGAGTGCATATCTATTCTGGACTATAAACTCTCATTAACTAGTTTATCCACCTAATAAGCCATGTAGACGTCGTAACGCATTTTTGCTGTCACAGAGTCAGAGGTAACAGTGGTATGGTTCTTGCCTGAAGTACACTGGAGTTAAACCAAGTTACACTCAAACGCTGTACAAGTCCTTTCAGTCTGTCTCCACTCTCGCTAATACTGACAATCTCTACATGTATCTCCTCCACTTCTTCCTTTAACACCTCTTTTCTTCCTCGCTCTACTCACATCTTCCTCAGGCTTTGGGCAGCCTTTCGGGTCCGAGGGCTTCTCCAAAATGTCTAAGATTATGTCCTCAGCGGGCGGCAGCCTGTTCCTGACACCGTCCAGTAACAGTCCCGTGACCATGGTGCGGGCTGAGGGAGCCTGTCTGAAGCAGGCGTATGTGGGAGAACTCAGCACATTCAGTGTGGACTGCAGCAGAGCGGGTAAGGCAGAGGAAAAACCGTTGTGTTTCCTGTTTCGTCCTGAAAAATTAGGGTCGGTAGCCTGGGTGCATCTTTTACAAGGCTTGAAATTCATTTTTGGTAATAGGTGCACTGGTTTTTGGGGATGCACCATATAAAATAAAATTTCAGCAAAAACTAACTATGTTTCATTTCTAGAGAAAGGTACAAAATGTACTACTAGAAAGACAATCGGATGACAATATGCTGTATACTATTAAACATTTCACATCTTGACAATCATACATTTACCTACGAAAATAACATGACATCTATACTGTTTAACCACAGAGGAAAGCTATCAATTAAACGTTATATTTGTCATTCTGTAAACCCAGGAAAGAGCGCCTTGGTGGTGGGCATGCTGGGCCCGACCACGCCTTGTGAGGAGCTGGACGTGAAGCACATCGGGGACAACAAGTACGTGGTGAGCTTCAAGGCGAGCGAGAAGGGCCCGCACTCCCTGGCAGTACTCTGGGGGGACGAACATATTCCAGGAAGCCCTTATGACGTCACAGTTTTCTGAGCTGATTTTTATATTCCCGGAAACTTTGCTATATTATAGTGACGACGAGTTGACGATGTTTTTACATGTAAAGTATACTACGGAAGCAGCATACATATGTATCTGACGTCACAGTTTGGTGAGCTGGTTTTTCTATTCCCGGAACTTTGCTATAGTAGTGACGACGAGTTGACGGTTTTTTTACATGTAAAGTGCACTACGGAAGCAGCATACACATGTATCTGACGTCACAGTTTGCTGAGCTAATTCTTATATTCCCGGAACTTTGCTATATTATAGTGACGACGAGTTGACGATGTTTTTACATGTAAAGTACACTACGGAAGCAGCATACATATGTTTCTGACGTCACAGTTTGCTGAGCTAATTTTTATATTCCCGGAACTTTGCTATAGTAGTGACGACGAGTTGACGATGTTTATTTACATGTAAAGTACACTACGGAAGCAGCTTACATACAATGATACATATCTGGGAGGCAGATAAGATTCAGAACTGTATAGTAGAGAAAACGAACGACGCAAGACATACAATATCGTATAATTAAAAATATTATAGGTTTTGTAGACATCCACCACTTTTCTTGCCGACTTGTTTTATAAAGTTACGTATTCTTCGTTCTCTTTAAAAATACATAATAGGTAAATATTGTACAGGTTTTCCTTTACTGATGCGATGGCGAAAGATGACATATTGAAAATCAGGGTCATTTATGCAAATGTTGACTGATTGGATAGGGTTTTGAATGTTTTAGTATTTTGGTGATTTTTACTTGATGCCTGATACGATCACATTTATGGTGAAGAACAAGTATAACGATTTAATTAACTTTGAATGAGCTGAAAGAAAGACTTTTGCCTTGATAATGAGACGCTTAGACCGTTGATGTACGATTATAGTGCAACGATCTAGCCTATAAAAACATGCAAGTAGAGAGTGTATGTATATATACAGAGAGAGAAAGAGAGAGAATATGTATAGCTACTGGTATTGTAACTAACGGACTTTCGTATCCTGTCAGACTGGCAACGGGAGAACGAATTTATCATAAAATGTCTTGGTCATAAAAATACTTGTCTGTGTCTATTTTTGTTGGAACTGCTGTTTCACCACGGCCTTCACCATTCTAGTTTAGCTGTTATAAACATGTATCTTGTCTAACGTACAAAGGTATGCAATTGAAAAGAAAATGAACGTGTGTTTGCGTCGGACGTGCCATTTGCGACTACACAGAATTGGTTAGACGAGGAAAGCCGTATTCCCCATGGATAAAACATCCAGCTGAAGAATCGAACCCGCGACGCCTTGCTCCGGTGTCAGATAACCAGCCACTCGGCTATCGTCGCCAAGGGTAGACAAATACCCAGATAAAACCGTTATAGACTCACGCCCTCCTCTGGCTTGAACATGGCACCGCCCCAGTATGTAAGACACGGCTGATATTTTGGGCGTGGACGACAAAAATACACCGTGACCAGACAAATGATCGATGCATTCTGAATGGGAAGTTTCCCCGTAGAGACGGACTATTTCCGGACACAGACGGCATGTGGGGTATAAATTACATAAGAGAAATGATTTTGGATACCTACATATTGCTAGTATAGTACCAATATCTGCTTCTGAAAATGAATGTTGGATTCTAAGCTGTCTTTAGTATCCAACTTAGATATAAAGTGTATAAAATATGTATTGCAGCATTCACGCTAATATTAATTTGTAGTGAAGTAATGAACAAAAACAACACACAAATGATTCAAATGCTCTAATATTTTTTTTTACTCCGTGGCACCTTTGCGTACATTATACTGTAAAAATAACCAGTAGACGTTCCCATGTCATTGCGGTCTCATCAAAGTATACTTGCTGCATCTGGTCACCTATATATTACTACTCATCAGGACTTTGCCTTGTCTCCAGAAGCTATATCTTCCCGGCAAACTTAAAATCCAAATATATTTCTTCACGAGAACTACATGTAGGTGTATCCATAATTTGACCTAGCAAGCCATTTTACAGTTACAAGTGTGCATAATTGTGCAGTCGTGATATATAAAGGTCAAAGTGCACGACCCTTGACTTGTACACTAAGAATAGTTTATACAAGCCAGGGGTATATATGTGACGACATACCATAATGCATTACGGCTGCACATGCCCACTAAGAACTGTGAAATGACTTATTGTCTTGTCATTTGGCTGATAACAACGAGTAAGAAGAAATATATATATATCATATCAATAAGTGCTCCCTAGAAGTCTCACATAGGTGCTTACGTGACCATGATTATAGCATTTTGGGGTCTCTATAGCTACAACGGCATATTTTGGAGTATACAAGTAACTTTATAAGGAATGATACACGTGGCGATATGCTTTCAACTATGAAGCATTGCATGCAACAAAAAATACTCGTATGCACATCCGACTTCGGCGTAACCAACAAAGCATCTACGTCAGCACCCATAAGTTCCTTGAAGCAAAAAATTGTCTCCTGGCCTACTCCTCTGGGTTGCTACCCTGCAGTTAGAGAAAAGATACAAACTGTTTGTCACGTCAGCAAAAAGAAGTATTAGTGATAAACAGTAACAAACATAATATATATGTATATATATAAATATTACATTGGTGGGCATTGGCTTTGATTAGAGAACAGTATCAAACAGAATTCATTTAACTTTAAAACACATCAAATAATATACCTCAAGTGAACGCACCTGCTTGGACAAAATATACGAGGGCAGTTCAATGAACTAAGTATTTCGTATTACAGGCCTTGCTGCAAATTACTGTGTCCCAAAGAGAGGTATAAACATACATATCCAATTACATCCTCCTACCATAAACGTAATGGTCTTTAATTATTGGACGGCCCTCTTAAGACCACATCATTGAGGTTATTAACCACACCAAACACTTGAGAGTTGTTGTACCTGGTGACAATTCAAGTCTCGACACCTGATGTGGACTAGTTCCCCTATTGAAGAAGTATTATTAAATCACATTTAATTTATTATTTAATACAAACGACGTTCGGGGTTGGGGTTGGTCTTTATGTCCCGTTTTCACCGAGTTGACCGTTGAGTGACCAAAAACTCTTGAGTAGTTCCAGTTTTATTCTATCTATAAGACGAGCATTTTGAAAGTTTTGTGTCGTCTATGGTATCATCTTCCAGATATATAACTTTGACCCAGTATTGACCTCACACTTGAAAAAAAAAGCCACGTGACAAGCCTCACTGGGTCAGTCTCCTGAGGAAGACCGGAGTGACTGGTCGAAAGTTCTAGGTGACCTCTTTGTGTTGGATCAAAAGTTTTAACATTTTGAAAGCTTTGTGTGTTTTGTTGCCTTTCCAATCATACTTTTTATGTCATTTCAGAGAAAAGGTCATAAAATCCATTTTTCGGTCGCTCAAAAGCCTCCATCCAGCTGAATCGGGGTCGTGCTCATATCCTTATACCAAACGGTACATGTACGTGTACACACACGTACATACGAATGTCATGCAGCAAGCAACAGTCACCCACCGAGGCAATGCAATGGTGGCAGCACAGAAGACGATGAGGGTGGGGGGCTTACTGCAATGGAAGCAGTGACAAAGAACAGAAACATGGCAGTTTAATGCAATTACACCGGCATTATAACAGTCTGTAGAAGAGCAGGTCTATGAACAAAGTGTTCAATGCATAATTAGTGAATAGTATGCGCAAGGACTAAATTTCTAAGATTTCTAGCATGCACTATTAATTATATCATAGCTAGTATGGACAAATTGAAACTATCTGTTGCAATTCTAAAAGGAACTGGTGTAGTTATGCGAGAAAGACGAAGCTAACTAATAATGTTAAGAAGTATTATCATGTTAAATATGCTTTATAAACTAGTTTCTTCTAAACCATGCAGGGTGGTATGCTAGTCTCATTTACTTTAAAGATATGCCGATTTTTAGTCTACATCTAAAACAATATTAGCAAGGGCAAGCAAACTTAAAAGTATGAGGCTACAAAGTTATTAACATACATACAAACGGAAACTGTGGAGAAATACAAAGGGGACACATCAGAATAATAACAGTCAATGTTTTTACATTACTTACCTCAATCTCAGCTCTCATAGCATCGAAATTTGTGGCCTACAATAGCGAGAAATAAAACAGTGGCTTTAGATTAACGTACTGGAGCAATCGATATCGTTTTAAAATATGTAAATTATGTTGATATCCAAAAACATTGCAAATTGAGTTCTTACATTAAGATGAATTCTAGTCTTTTAATTGTGACATTAAAGTATTTCCTTTGCACTATAATCGTATATTTCACTATTTTCACGCTTAATGTGCTTGCGGCCTCCTTGGTGCTTGAGAAAAAAAACTCTACGCGGAACTCTATAATATTTTGTTTGTATATAGGCATAATGGCACAGGAAGTAGGTGCCCCTTGTCGGCTTTCATTACCTCCCACATGCCCGGGTCGAAGCCGAGGAAATGCGCAGTGAAGTTGGGCGGCTCCGATCCCTGCTTCACTTGGATGATGACGACATCATCAGGAGTACGGCCGGTGGGGTCAGTTTCCACGTATTCCTGCTCGATACATCCACAACAGTTAAGTCTATATCTGATACTAGTACTCCAGTAATATTGCCAGTAATACATACTTCTAAATGACTTAACAAAAAATTACATTGAGAATCGTCAAATATACGCTTAAATAGTACAATTTCAACGTATAATTTGGATGAGGGTTATGTTTGTAAAGCCATGGCAATTGATACAGCTATTTATTACAATCATAAGTGTCATTCAATTCTAACAGAAGTGGCATATTCGTATTCTATTTGCTCATTCAGCAATTTATAGTTCAATACCTCGATGATTTGGGAGAAGAATGCAATCATACATTTGTACATTTCGTTTGACTTACCCCAGCCGTCTGCAGTGTCCTTTCCTTTTCAGTGTCGTTTGCTCCACTACCAATCCACAGGAAGATCTGATATATTGCGCAAAAAAGTTATTAGTATCTTGGGTACGTATCAACTACGCCATGGTGGTTAGTTTTACATTAGCAACAAAAGTTATTTATTACCAGATTAGCATCCATCTAACGTTATCATAGCGTGGTCCTCTATGCACTTTAACTTACGGCAGCCAATGAAACGATGCAGCTGTATTCTCCTGTGCCCTCTCGGTATACTCAGCTGTACTTACTACTGTAACAGCTACAATGTACTACAGCCAAGACGATATTGCGTTACTAACAAATTAAAACTCTACAAGATATGAGCCAGAGCAAACAATTACAATATGATGTAATTAAACATTTGTAACATAGGAAACGGTTATCTTAGAGATGACGTAAGAATTGTGCTCATCTTACCGTATCAAACGCATCAAGCAGCATGACGTCATCTGGAGCTAGGTCCTGCAAGGAAACAGAACAGAATTGTTTACTTTGTTTTCTGGCTTTTATTGTAGGCATGATAAAGTACATGTTTATGATGATGTCATTAATATGGCTGGCTAGTACTTACATCTTGAGCAAAGTCGACAATCTCTTCAACAAGGAAGCGTCCAGTAGCATTGGAACACTGGAAGAGCCTTGCTGGTTTGGAAATAACACCCTGTGTGTACGAGGTAAAACAAATAGATGGTAATATCAGATTGCATTACATAAATAGCACTCAATTTTGAAGGTGAGCAATCTGGTCGAATTAAATTAAAGCCTAAAAGTATATAATATATGATATAAATAGTCCCTGAATCACGTAGCAATCAGAAGGTAACGGGATCTGCTTGGAAAGTAAAATATGATAGATATAAGATAGATATAAGACATTGGTTTATACTTTAAACTTCCAATATTCCGATATCGTTTACGACCCTTAATCTGAACATGCTAAAATGGTGCAATACAATGTAGATTCCTATTACAAATGAATGTTTCCAACACTCACTGCCAGCATACGGTCCGACCCGTACTCTCCCTTCCCGCCGAGGGCTTCCCAGAATTCATCAGGCTCGCTACCCTCAGCCACTTCTACCGGCTCGCTGAGTAAAACATAAAGTAAAAACTTCACTGAGGTGTTTGAAGCATAAAACAACTTCAAAAATGCACAAATCACACAGAAATTGAAAAGCAGCTTGAGTGGTCAAATGTCAGTCGTTCACAGGAAGTATAAAAAATCTAAATGTATAAAAAATTTTTTATAATGTTCTATAAGGAAATTAAGTACAGTTTGATTATTAAAATGTTTCCCTACATATACATAGAGAATGTTAAATAAAATGGGAGAAGAATGATTCAATCTAGACAAACGACTGTTTATATACGGTTTTTATATTTTTCTTCTTAATCTATGGGTAATATCATAGTTGCTTGCACTAGTGTTACGTTTGCACGATTATCTTATTTTCTTCTTAATTTTATTTTATTGAAATGTTATTAGATATTATTAAAATTGAGTCATAAATATGATTAAAATCTATTTCCCGATTATGATGAATTTCTAAAACACAATCCGTACAGATCAAGCGATAAGTTTCCTGGTTATCTTCTTGTTTTCAAACACAATGTTTATTAACTTAGTACGCCCTGCCACGTCTATTCACCGAAGCGTTGTCCCTTGCCTCTCCTTTACCCACCCATGCTTCCCCTTTCTCCATCTTTGGTTTGGCACCTGCTGCAGAGGGCTAGGCCTGAATCACACAGGTTAAACTTTGCAGCTGGGTTCCTACAGAAGCTGTACTTGCAGCTGTGGGAGCCCTAAGCATTTCGTTTTACAATCCGTTTCGTAATGGTAATGCGAAATGGATTTTGTAAAAAGCAAAATACTTCTGATTAATGTATTTAACTTCAAGACACAAGCAACTTCAAGCATTGGACATCTCAACTGCTAGACATGAAGAAAACAGAAAAAAAAATTTTTCTATCGGTGATTCATGTTTTTAAACCTCCTATGTATAGTTTTACATTTTTCTAGGTATACATGTATACACCCCTGGCATCATATTTACCTGTCTGGGGAAACAAACCCTGAAACCGCTCGGCAGAAATCCTGTTCCAAGTCGATCGAATACTGTAGAAAAATCAACTCCAACTCAGTACCAAAATAGTACGTAAAGGGGCTTGAGATACGGGAAAGAAAAGCTGAGACAGATACCTTCCCGGCGACACAGCAGAAGCGATGTTCTTTGCGAACTGTTGCTCGATAGGAAGGCTACCCTAGAAGCAGCGGACAGGAGGATACAGAACGCAGGGCACAGCACAATGCGTGAACACAGCAACACAGGGAAGAACAAGACCCAACATTGTAAAGGAAGGCGGCAAAGAAAAACATTGGGTGGAATGAAAAGAGACAAATATCAGAGAGATCGACGAAAACGATTGTGATCCATATCAGAAAGGAGCAAACGATTGTAAAGTTACTGTTTCATCGAAAACATAACATTGTCAATTTAACATTAATTTAACATTATAAAGATACGGTCTTTATGAAACATTCTCTTGTTTTATACAAGACTTTTTAAAAGATTCTATCACACTGCTATTAGATAAAGTCTTTCAATTTCTTTAACCACAACACTGTTTTCTGTCACATGTACCTTTCCAAACCACAGATATGTGTTCCCAGGTGTCTCAAGAACGAAGACGTCGCTTGAGTTCAGTGCGGCTGCTTCCTCTGCAACCTGGAAATACGATCACAAATATGCTTCAAACATGTTACTAGTATGTCACAGGAAGTTCAAGCACAAGGAATCATGATCGATATCACAAAATAATTACTTTGATATTCATCCTAATCTTTGACTATCAACACAATTTATTCCATGTTACAACACCATACTCTATCATCTAGAAAAACAGTAATATTGTTATTGTTATATATTTTACGTTTGTAGAAATGCCCCGTACCTGTACTGCCCTGGTGTTGACCTCCGATGTTCCCTTCACCTGGAACAGGCGCGTGCCGTCAGCGTCGTACGAGTCGTGCTCACGGAGGTTCTTAAAGCCGCTGCCTTTCCCACCCTGGAGATGTATAATGCAATTCAATGGTATCTGTACCGTTTACACGTAGTATGAAACAAAATGTTACAAAATACAAAAACAAGCATAATGCATCTTATGAAAGGGGACATATTACCCTCAGTCATGTAAAATCTAGTTAGAATGGTGCATACAAACAAAGCAGAAATCAAGATGAATGAACGAGTAAACAACCAGATCACATACCGAGAATGTGATCATCTTTCCCTTGAAGATACGAAGGAAGTGCTCGGGTTCCTTGCCTTGCACCACACGGATCTATAAAAGATTCAAAAGTTAAAAAAGAAACCAATGAATGGTTCAGCTCTGGTGTACTCAAACACGTTCCACTAAGTCTACAAAGCAGTGTCATGACGTTTAATGTCTACCTGCGTCGCGCTTCCCCCGAATTCTTCATCATCGATCTGCTTGGCGAGCAGGGCGGAGGCTCCCTTCTCATCTGTGCTGCTGCGCAACCCCTAGTAAGTAACAAAAAAATGAACATTTTAGTACAATATCTACAAATAATGAATCATAACTTTAACTTCATATAGGATTTCAGTATGTTATATATTTTAACACAAATTTTGCATAACCAGATTGCTTTAGATATCACGCCCATATATGCATTATTCGTGAGGAAGGGGTGTACAGGCTTAGTCACGTGTAGGGCCGCACCCTTCTCACTGCACCTATCAGTGGGGAGTATATAAATTTCTGCACCGAAGAACATTGCAGAAGTACTTTATATATCGAACTGTTGAATGGTACAGATAGTAACTGCATTATTCTATAAGAAGAACAATATTGGAAGCCACAATACCTGCCAGAAGTACACAATCTTGACGTTTGCGCCCGGGTTGTCGTACTGGATGACGTAACTATCTCCACCAAAGAAGATGCCGTGCTGGGCTTCATCGATTTCCACCTTGTCCATGTCCTCAACCCGCCAGATCTAATTAACAAGGTGTGCAATTGAGTTACATCCTCCAAAGAATAAATACAAATTGACAATATTTGACAAACATATCTAACTTAAAGATACCTCTCGGAAAACTCATGATGTTCAATTTTGGTAAACTATATTTTTCTCTTTTTACGTTTTATTACATGTTGACATATCTTCATTGATTATTCCAAAAACTGCATTTTTTTTCAATTTCAACACTAAATTGTCCTATACATTGTCTCATCAAGAAACCGCACTTATAATGTGATCTGGTGCCATAAGCATTTTGTGTGCAATCAACAATTAAAGAAACCAGACGATCCATGTAAGTCACATTTCATGGTTATAAAAGTTGCGGATACTAGACGTGAAGTGATTACCTTGACGTCACCGGATGCGTCATCAGGCATTTTGGCGGCTTCCTTCTCAGCGATGGCGTGGAGGGTAGTGGCATCAAAGGGTTCGTTAGGATCGATCTCTGCAAGAATGAGAAAAAAATAAATACAGATTAATCTTTGATTAATCAACTAATTAAATCTAATCTAAATAAATAATTTGTAGAATTATAGATATGGGTGTAGTAAGGATTGTTGTTGTAAAAAAATCATGATGTTAAATGCTTCAAAAAAAAGATTTCCCCAATATCAATTTGTCATTATTTGTAATAAAAGCTGGTGACTCACTTGCAATGGTTCCGACAGTGTACACATTCCCCAGCCCGACCTGTGCGTACCTCTCCGGCCACTCGGAGAAATACTGCTTAAACAGTGGAGTTTCTCCGTTCTCAACCACTCGGGTCACTTGGGTCCAGTTCGGATAGCCCTTCTGGCTCAAGAAGCCCTGCAGAGTTCAACACCATAGGATCAAGAGAATATGAAAAAAAAATAAAACCATTGGATGGCACCGCCGACAAAGAATAACAGGACGACATGTCAACCAGAATTTTATTTGTCAAACAAAGAAACAAAGAGTTAAAAAAAGTTACAGATCCCTTACCACAGCCTTCTTCATGGCAGTTTTCTTTTCATCTGAGCTGCAGTGGATGCCGGTCCAGACAAAGATGCCACTTGGTCCACCATCAAGAATGAAACAATCCTGGCAGATAAAAACGTCATGTTTTTATTTATAATTTTCTTATGTTTTTCACGAGGATCTGTGTCAGGAAGTTAGCTTACTCAATTTACAATCAAGCAACTGTCAAAAAAAAACAAGATGACAACAATTCATATATTTTAGGGAACTACATACATTAGTATCCAGGTGATCCTTCTTCAAAGGTTTGCCAGCTACCTCCGTGATCTCCAAGTCTCCACTGGCATCAGACACTCTAGGAGAAAAAAAAACACTACGTTTAGATTGTTTGTACATTTCTGAGGTGGAGCTTATTTTTGTAGCAAAGAAGTTATTCAATATGTACTAATAATGCAGAGGAGTCCGGGCAATTCATGATTTATCCCATCCTGTGAATTTCCTACGTACTTGTACAGTTTGACTTCGTGGTCGGCCTTCCTCTCGTGCGCGGCGTCGACTTCAGACGGCACGGCGGCCTCCTCAGGGACGTCTCCCGGCTCAGCGCCAAGCTTCTCGAAGAAATGTCTGTCACTCTGGCAGTGATCTCCATCTGTTTTACAAAAATAGACAATTCGAAAAGGGAAACGTATCTTTCATGTTTTGCTCACTGATCAAACAAAAGTTGCTCAGAATAAAAGAAATGCTTGACTATTTAATCTTACCAACAATGATGACCTTAGCTTTGCCGCTTCTTTCTTCATCTCTGATCTTCTTTGCTACCTGCATACCCTGTAATTAGCAATGTGTTGTATTTGATAAGCATTTTTAAACAAAGACATCATTGCTCCCGCATACCATACTATTGTCATTTTCTACAATGTTTCGTTAATCTGATAGTTGTAGTAATTACTTTGTATAAATAGTCTTCCGAGACTGGACTGCCAATGACTGTATTTGCAATGCTGTAAAATATGTTATGAGAATTTTAAGTGGACGTGTTTTTGGTAATCCATACTATTTTTTCCTACAATATACAAATAAAATGTTTCTCGTATCAAACGTGAATTTGACCCATTATTTCTTACCTTGAGCCTTTCGAACATGTTGCTCTGTGACCCGTTCCAACAGTAGAGCTCTAATCCGGCGTCTAGGATGAAGACGTCTCCGAGGTTCAGGGAGGCCTTCTCCAACCCAACCTGGTGTTGGAAATATCAAATCTAATGTTTCGGAAATACCAAATTCAACTCATTTATTTAAATCTATATGTTTCATCAGGTTTATTCATAAATGGATGAATACAGTTCTTTGCTGCAAAAATCCGGCCATGAACCATAATGTTGGAATACAAGCTTAGTCCATTTGTGACCAAATTTTCTAAGTGCAGTGCTACCTTGCGATAGGAAGTACAACAAGTTGTTCATTACTGTAACTTACAGTAAGGTGTAAAAATAGACAAAAGTTGATGGAAATGACCTTACCTGTCTGACCTTGACGTTCCTCTTACCCTTGACCTGTAGCAGACGAGTTTCGTACTCTTCCTCCTCAACATGGCGGAAACCCGTCGCCACGCCACCTGGCAGGTACCTGATATTATGCAGATATATTCAAATGGAGACATCTATTCAAAATGGCGTCAGAGATTTAATAAGGCAGGAAAATTTGTCGTAACAGCAGATTCTGTTACAGATGACAGTAGTGGACTGCAGTGTTTGTGTGTACATGTTATCAATTTATTTCCATGATGTGATTCCTCTACTTTGTGCGAACAAATATATAACAAACAATTTTTTAGTCCATAAACAAGAAAATATAACTTACTTAATGCCTTTCTTGAAGTATGACAGGAACTTTTTGGACTCATGGTCTTGCACCTGTTCAGAAAAAAAGTGAGAAACGTCGGCACATATATACATCTTGGGTAATGTTTAGGACAACTACAAACAGCTGAAAATACATTGAGACCTTTAAATGCACGATTGCCTTTAACTTTTTTCGTGACAGTTTGCACTTTTTTAAATTTTTTTTTTTGGCAGTTGCCTGCAGTACCTCTCTGTACTGCACGGGGACGCCTCCCAGCACATCGTCAAGTTCTACAGTCTTGATGGCGGCTGTACCAGCTTCATCCTAATGCAGAATATAACGAGTACCATTCGTCAGTAATAAACAAAAAAGATGGTGGTATGAAAACAATTACGCCATTGCTCTAAATGAGCTCAAAATCCTTATAACATTTCTCACATGTATCAAATACGCAAAGCTATCTTATTGCAACTGTACATGTCTTCGAGAGAAACCTGTTCTTCATATACTAAGTATTCTCTCTACATGTACTTGCCTGTGATGTATCCTTCCCCAGCCAGAAGTGGATATCCCACGACAGTTCGCCTCCACCAGGGGCTTCAGAGGTCTGAAACATACGGATATTACAACTCTTGTTAGGTCTCTTAATATGAAGGTCATCAACAAAAGTCATGCGAACTCTGCAAGTTACCTGATAATACTACAAATGGATAAAAGAGTCAAATTATAAGACTTCCCTTTTTACACGAAAAAAATGACTTTGATGGGTGAACATAAATAAAACACATGTACATACAAAGGAAGACATACACACCTTCAGAACGATGTAGGAGTCTCCCTCGTGAAACTGTCCGTGTGTAGCCGGATCACGTTTCACAACCTCAAATTTCTGTAGAACACAACGATTCATACAATATTTTCTTCACGCACATCACCAGAAACATAAAACACGGTACAGGTATCTTTTAGTCAATTTCAGGTCGCAAAGTGAGAGCGCCGTGAGAGCGCCAATAAGTGGAATGGGGGTCTAAGCGAATGCTGACTTTGAAAAATCGGGTTTCCGAGCCCTAAAAACTGCACTGGATGCTTGAAGAAACTAACCTCGATACGCCATATCTCCATGCCTGCGGCCTGGCCGGCTCCCTCGTACGCTGGGTCCATCTTCTCAGTCTAAGGTCTGCTGGCACTTGGAGGAAGAACTACTGCATGTGGAAGTGGAAAAAATTATAACTCTCTTTATTATCCTAAAAAGTACGGGTTCTGCGACAAAACATTAGCAGGATTCCATAATCGATATTCCAAAATGTTTTTGGCTTAGTAATACCATATTGTTCAATAGATAAAAATGACTTGCAGTTACTGAGTTAGACCGTGAGCTATATACATTTTCAAATGAACACCGTCTTTCTCATCCTAATTTTTGTATTTTTAAATACAAAAATAAAAAAAGTCATTGCCTTTTCATGTAAACCGTGTATCTTGCTACTTGATACTTGAAATGTATCGACTCTTTATTTGTTGCACCGAAAGACTAGGATTCAAATATAAACACCGTGGTGAACTGACACACATTGCAGACGATCAGATAATGAACAGTGTGGACCGCTAAGATTGTTCAAAGCAGCTGTTGTAGACTTGGCCACAGCTGTTGTTGCCTTTCCTGTCCAAATTTAGTGCCTGAAGATTTGTGTTCTGGTTCTAGACCGCAGACGTTACGTCAGCTAGTCTTTATTCTTTTAAACCCCCGCTACAGCATCTAAACGTTCAAAGTGTATTTGGGTAAAACGCAAACCTAATACTAACATTTTATTACCATGATATGTCATTATTTTCGAGCCCGAAACGGCACGTTATGTATCAAAGATTTTTCTGGTAGCTTTCGTTCCGACGATTCAAACTTCAAAGCACCTGTATTTTTTTTCCGGAAAACTTACAACTCCGTCTCCCAGCTTTTGATGTTAACAACACAAAAGTATTCAGATAACGACATACAAGGTAACGACTCCGCAAATTAAAGCACAGAGCCCGAGTTCCACAGCTAAGGGTGTTAGTTAGACCGGATAGGCAAGAGAGGTCAAGGGAAGAGCCAAAATGCCAATAAAACGTGGCACGCACTTCTAACCGTGTCACGTCTCCAACTGAGCTGGCCTCACTGCGGAATGCATGATCACATGTTAGCACAGTTTGGGAACTTCAAGCTGCCCAAATGCGTCGCGCTTTGCCGTCCTGTTTCGCGTTTGCTTGCTAACTACGCTGGCTAAATACACTCATCTACACATTTCTAGACAGATTCTGGTTTCATGACCAGTTAGGCAGGACTCCTTGCGGATTTATGGAGAACTACAGCTCCTTTATTTCAGCTTTTTACGTGCCGCGACGTCGGCACTAGTGTGTACAATGTTGTGATGGCTTCAACATTTACATTGTACCTCGTACTATTCATTGCCACCGCGCGTGCTACCGTTGTGCGTTGACAACGATTGTTCAAATTACGGAAGCTGAATCATAGAGAACTTTAACTTTGACAGCCTGGCAGCCGCCCCGCCTACACAACTTCCCACAGAAACAATTTATCTGCCCTATGTCAACTCGGCCTGTTTGTTCTTTACACAGATAACGTCTGGAAAGGCCCAGATACGTGCTCTTACTGCAGCACCTAGAAACAGGACTGACCCACAGCTAAACTGGGCCAACAGCTAAGCAAGTATCAACTCGTAAAAGGGCCTGATCCTTTAATAGAAATTTTGGACAGGTTCCAAAGTGATCTTGAAACCACAATCTTTGAGTGTCCTATTGTACTAAAGACACGTATAAAATGGTTTTCTACGAAACACAATAATAACACAAAAAAGGAATTCGTTTACTTCTCTTTGCAAGAGTGTGTGGGTACTTTGTTTGGTAATCAGCTGTTTACTTCTGCTTCCAATAGACGCAGTCTTAGGGACAGGTCAAAAAACATCACGGGGTGGTTATCGTTGTGTGAAAATGTTGGTGTCGTTCTTTTCTGCTTATTTCTTGTCACATCATCTGTCCATTTTTGTTTCAGTTATTTTGTATTGTATTCTTCATTCTGTCTGCTGCTTTTTTTTACATATTCCTTATATTTTTAGGCAGATTTTGGCGTCGTCCTTTGTCCAAGCCTTATCGACCACGTCCCCCCCTATAACACCACACCCATGCCATATACACTATTTAAACATCGGCTTCACTTTTACATAGATAAAACATGTATGAGTGTATACAAAACATTTATTGCTCACATATGAAAATGTCCATAGTGCAGTATATAAGCTGCCAGTACGTAATATGAATCCTTAGCAGAACAGAAAATAACCAAGTTCACAAATTATCAACATAGGATTATCACTTGGTGTCCCGAGTGGAACCCCTTGTCGCCAACTTTTAGACTAAAGCAATTAACCCACGGCTTTAATCATGATTGGACTTTCATTATTAGCAAAATTTGCTGAAAGAATCAAAGTACAACCATATGACACAGCGGTATCTATATACATGTTAGGAAGTTGGTTTCGTCAGGATTTTTTTAGGAAGTAGACATAACATAAGAACGCAGTAGTATAAATAGTAAATAAATAAACACAGTAGTATGGTTCTTCTTTTTCGATCAGTTACGGAACAAACAAAATGCTGCACACGTGCATATATCTTTTAGCATTGACTTGTCATGTTTTGAAAATGCCACTCTCATGAATAGTCCGTGCCCGCACTCCAGACGTATTAGCTTAGCATAGTTCACGGGACAGATATGTGCTAACCCGCCCACACACTCTATAGCTAGCTGATACGCCGAATATATAACGGTTACATGCATATGTGGGTCTGACTAATACGTGTGCATTGTGCAGTCACTACATGTGTATGCAGATGGAAAAATAACATGGAAAACATAACGATCTATATCATTATATTTGACAATATTAGCATCAGCTGATTTTTCTTGATTATAACGGTTTATCATTTTGCAAGATATGTGTGTTTTATAATAGATTTTCGATAGTTTTATCGACATTTTGACGTTGCATATTTCGAAAGGAATTCATAGGGAAGTTATATTTACATGCTCTACGAAGAGATTCAATTAAGCAATTTTTTTTTTATGAACGGTTCCCCAAATCTATTATAAACCCAAAAACCAACTTATCATAACGAATTTCATTCAAATTTTCGTTCATCAGTGTTTAGGTTTTTGCAATATGATTTGAATTACATGGCGTATTCTTGTAATCTTCCCTGCACACGGTAACGTACGACACTCCTGATGCCTCTAGCCTTCCGGTCGGTATGTCAGAAATGTAAGGAGAGGTCCGGGGGTAGAACAACGTCTGGAAGTACAGCAGATCAAATGTCCTGGTGCTGTGGGGTGGGAGGGGGGCACCGTACAACACTCCAATCACTTCCTGTCCATCCAGTATAATTACAGCACAGAGCTTAATGTCAGCGTTCTGATACAACTACATTGTCTGACTGTATGCACCCAAGAGGAAAGAGGCCAGTGTAGGGGCGATATCTTTTGATAGACCACGAAGAAATATGCCTTGCGCTGTATATACACTGTGACTGCCCTCCCCACAGATTTAAATCGCTTTCAACACGAAAACCTAGGTCTACAACCTCATTAATGACAATGTACAAACCGTGCCCTTTAAACTTCGCATATTCCAACCCCACGACGAGCTACAATGCCTGACCTATATATTTTCTTGATCGCTGATCCACTCTGAATGACAATGAGAGAGCTTAGCAAAAGGACTGACCTGACGAATATTTCCAGACACACTTGAAGAGAGAACCTTGGCACGCTGACGGTCTCTCAGGCGGCAGTCTGGCGGAGGAAGTGGTCCCTTCTGTTGTTCTCAGACCGGAGCTGACAGAAATGGGCGTTCCCTTCCACCGGCACGGATTGGTGCAAATACCGCGGGCGTGAGGTCATTCAAAACATGACCTTACGGACGACACCACTTTCCAACTACAGGGTTTTCCTAAATATTATAAAATATTCAAGGAAACCATTGTCGAATTGTTTAAATCTATAAAACATGCACTATCATCAAACTATTTCAAATATATTATGGTGAAAATGAAAGATTTTCTTAATATCAGTTACGTACCATTACGTCATTGTTGTTAAACGAGAACGGATAGCGGCTGGTCTGCACCCTTGCACCCGTAATTTGTTCAGCACGAAAAGACAGAAACGGATAAAATCAATACATTTAGACTTTGCAATTTGTACTGGCTGTTTGATCCCTTCATATCATTTAATATTGTAAGCTTAACGATGCGACAGATTAGAACGATTAGGAGTTTTACGGTAGATTTGTGTCACGCAGTTGGCGATGTTTGGATGGCGTCCATATCAGACTAGACTGGACTGGACTGAGCAAAAATATCGTCTGCCAGCAGGTGTATGTTATGTCGCCTCTGGGCAGAAGTCGTGACAGTAGGGGCGGAGGTAAAAGGTATCATTTGGCAAGTAATAGTCATGTTTGTTCTCAAATTCACTGAATTTGAGAAGAAACATGAGTTGCAGTTGCAGGTGAATATTATCACTGTGTAGTCAGCAACTAGATTATCGCCATGGCAGTTTAGTAAATATTTCGTGCCCCCTCCCATTAAAAGCGGTATTACCATTTTGTGAGAATGGAAAGACGTATAGCTTTTCTTAACATTTTCAGGGCTTTAAACTCAAAAACTTGTTCTGTTGTTCTGTTGTTCAGTCTTCGCGGAGGGCTGATCAAAATAAAGAAGGAAGCTAATTATACCGGCTAATAAAGTCTAAATCACTATAATCTTAGGGCACCGAAATACACATCACAACACACGAGCGGCACATAAGTATTTCTTGTAGTTAATAGGTCTAATATAAACAGCAAGACATGGGCCGGCCCTGGCGAGTAAGGGGTGTCCAAACCCACACGGTACATTCCAAAGTGTCTTTACCAGAATGACAGCTTCCATCTGGTGGTAACATCGCAGGAAACCAGCTTTAGTAAGACTAAAGGGCCGGACGTGCCATAGGAGTAGCCAGGCACTGCGGATCGCTGGAAAAATAGGAGAAATTGGCCAAAATAAAGGAATACTATACCAGGGGAGTGAGCCGGCCAGAGAGGGTACATTTTGCGACCTACGGATGCGGCCAAATGTAACTCTAACTCCCCTGGCATATTCACTCTATTTGGCCAATTTCCAAGTACTCTTTCCAGTCGCCTCCCGAAGCCTGGTAGAGGCTACCATCGGAGAGTTTTTTATCTTGCCGGAATATGTCCGAAAACCACAATTTTTTCAAAGCGTTATTTTAGTATTGTCAAAGTTCAATGCTAAAGCAACGTTCTATACTACTCTATACCGGCTATACTATACTATACTATACTATACTATACTATACTATACTATACTATACTATACTATACTATACTATACTATATACCGTACTGTACTATACTATACTATACTATACTATACTATACTATACTATACTATACTATACTATACTATACTATACTATATACTATTCTAATTCCTATACTATACTATACTATACTACTTATACTATACTATACTATACTATACTATACTATACTATACTATACTATACTATACTATACCAATTACTATACTATACTAATTCCTATACTATACTGTACTTTACTATACTATACTGATGTGCATGAAAAGTTATAATTTTCATTTTATTCCATTTGAACGTGCAGTAGCGCTTCCAACCCTGGCGGCTATAAATGAACATCGCAAGGAACGCTCGACATGTGAGGTCATTCAACTCTCTGATACGAACTTAGGGAAAGACCAGTAATAATCCTAGTCAGGGGTTGACTATAATAAGAATGGCAAATTGTTAGTTTCCTGAAGCGATTTGATATAATGCTGTGGTCCACCATGCACAGATGTTATTAGCTGTAAGCCCACAACAAGTAATTTTTATGGATGGCGTCCACGCGCGCATTGATTTTGGCCTGTTCAAAGAAAAATGAGAAATTCCTTTTTCTGTCACTATATGACCAAAGAGTCCACAGTGTTACAAATTGCAAGATTGGAAGATGTGATAGGCAGGACGGCAGCTGCTGTTTTTTTTTGTGAGTTATTGCTGTTTTCATGACGAATAAAAAAACTTAGTTATTGTTTGTTGTTGCACTGTGCTCTCTTATTCAATTTGTGTCCTAGAATTTGTCGTCTATTCATTCATCTAGGCATCTTGTTTTTTCGGCCCTTCTTGTTTTTTTCGCGCTCTCGTATTAGATTTAGGGTCTCCAGAGAACGTCATCTATAAAAATTACTTGGTGTGGCCTAACATTTTTTACTTGTTTCATCAGTTCAGAAGGCGCCCAGGCAACAAGGTCTACAATAGGCTGACTGTTTGTTCCGCTAGCGACTAAGCCCGACCATTGTCAAACACAGTCAAGCATGACTCATATACAAACATTTCATGAACTTCACATTCCTAACAACTGACATATTCGGAGCGTTTGAAATGTAACGTGGTCTATATTGAATGCGATATGGTTCATGAAGAAATCATGATGTTTATTGAAAAGTGTTGGTAAATATTACTTTAGACGAAGATTTTTTTCTAAAAGCTTTAAAATGAATGGGATCTCCTTGTCTGGCCTCCGTCCTATTGACTTTAAGGTATTGATTTGTGACATATGATGTCATGTCGTTCTCTATCCTCTCCGAAAACCAACGGAACGCCGCCTGGCGGAGAGGATGTTCTCTGCATCTGCTTGTAAACCCCGATAGCAAATTGTAGTTCTGTTCCTTAGACACCATTATATTTTCACAGTCGAACAGATTACGTAGATAAAATACGCCAATAACATTTCACGATCCCCAATGTTTGACTGACATGACCTATCTCTCCGAGCCTGTCTGGTACGTTTTCATCTTTCGATAAGTAGAGAAACATATTCTAAGACACGACATGTGGTTAGAAATAGGATTTAAGTAGAGAAAACTGCTTGAACACACGAGCCGCGGAGAAAAATATGGTGTAACTGTTTAGTGCCACGTTAGTGTCATAGCAGCGCGGTATTCGTATGTAAACCTCTGGCGGTTTACACACACATCACACATTGTGAACTAACTACATGAAAACACTGTGAGCAAACGTCCTCTTTTAATAAACGCCGGTACTGCAGTTTTAAGATAGAATGTCTTGCTTGACGACAAGTTGCCTTGGTTATTTACACATATGCAAAATACTGATGCTTTTCACCATGCATGTAAACCATGACACTGCTTATGGTCAACTGTTTGAACTTTTCATTTTGAAATTGTTTGTGCAAATTTTATACCGCTATGTCAATTTTGTATATTAATTGATATTTTTCCTGTCAGTATTGCCTATCTATAAATTATAATCATAATAAGTATAAGGCTTTCCTGTTTTCTAAGGTGTTGAGGTCTCTTTATACGCTCTAGTGTTTTTAACCCTTCAGTCCTAATAGATATGCCCCACATACGAGGCGGTGCCTCCAGATGCCTTCCTTAGCCTAGGTGACAGTAAATTATTGATCTCTCACTAGTATACATACATGTTACCGGGTGTCCACGCCTTGTGTCAACTGGCCTTTTTTTAGCCACTGCACAGGATGTTTGTTCCAAACTTTAGAAAACCTGTCCACCGGAAAACCTGTCCACCGCACTACAGGTTTACTGGGTGGTGGAATCTTAATGTACAGAAACACAGACCGACAAGGACACACAGACACACACACACAGACAGACACACACACCCCCACACACACAGACACACATACACACATACACACACACATTATATTTTTTCTTCAAAAAGCTTTAGGACAGAACGTTAAAAATCCCACCAGACCTGGCTAGAACCATTGAATATGAAGCCCGGGTCATTCATGTACTTAGTACTTAGATACCCGTTAGTGCCCCCCCCCCCAACCCGCACACAGACACACACATTTACTTTTTCCCCCTATAAATATGTTCTACTTTCCCAATAAAAAGCATATTATTACACGTGAAAAGATAATCCATCTAGTTGCTAAGCACATTTGGATAAACGTTTCTCACTAACACCTGGCACCTGGGTACGGATGCCCCCCTCCCACCATAACCAAGTTCTACACCTTCCTAACAACGCTGATACGGTACTGTATCCACGTAATGAAACAATGCTGTTATGTGTGCCCTGAACTCAGACAAAGGCTTGTCTGTAAGCTAGAGGGAACGAGTAGAAGGTCCTAGACACTGCACAAATGTTGAACTTTATTCCTCTTTTTTAAAAGTATATTTACAGTAAAATGTCACATTTAACAGGATTCTGTGTTCACTTTGTGTTCATGGATCGGTTCTTATTTCGCATGTTTGCCAAACAACACTTCGCAGGTTTGTTAAACAACGCTTTAAAAACACAAAGGGGCATAAAAGCACATAAGCTTTTTCTGTACTTTGAAAATTACAGATTGACCATATGTCATCCGAGGGAGGGGGGCTGTATCAAAGCAACCACACTTACCTAATATGTAATTATGACCTAGATGTGTATACATGTCCGTAATTCTATCAATCACTTAAGTTGTTTTATTGCTGTATTTATTGCGTCATATGATTAATTGGTGTACTGACCATACTCACCAACACAATACAATAACCTTTGACTTCTTCTAGATGGTTATTTAATGTAAAACACTTGGGTTTTTAATGAATAACCAAAGGTCGCCGTTTCTAACCTTTATCTTTTAGGAGGGCCCATGCGCGTGAAATAAGAGTAAACATTGTGTGAGTAACGCCGACAAACGTGTAATGATTATTGCAACAAGAAACACTTCACAGACCATCGTCTCGTGACTTTGTTCATTTGCGTTTGTTCTCGGTTTTTCGACTTTGACCGTTCTACCAAGCTAGATTTTACTGAGTCGCCATCTTTGACGCGAAGTAGAGGGCAAAGAAAGCCAGACTGTTGTCACCTTTGTGTCTGTATCGCCAAGGAGTAGCCTGCTGTACATTTGAGGGTATTGCGAGAAACCAGCTCCCATTGGTTGGCATTGACTCGCGATGCGTTGTCTTTGAGGTACGTCGTCTTTGTGGCAGAAAATATGTTCGGGAACTCGAAATTCAAGCTCCCGGGGCTCGGAAGCCACAGAACCAGCAGGGAGAATAAGGAGGACGCCAAACCAACCGCACAGATGACTGGTTACGTCACCATCACGGATCTTAAAGACGAGAATCAGAACCTTAAAGAACAACTGGCACAGCTGAAGCAAGACATCGACAACGTCAAGAAAGAATCCGAGGAGGAAAAGACGGGTCTGAAGAGGAAACTGTCAGAGAAAAATGCAGAAATCGAAGAGCTGCGAAAGGAGGTACTACCAGATCGTCTTGTTTGTTTAAAGACAATTTAGCATTTTTCGAATGATTTCACATTTATTGTATCCCCTACTTTGAAACCTAAGACATAAAAGATATCTATTTTGCCGTATGCAATCAAGTATACACAAAACAGTTTTCTTTTCCAACTGTATAAATTAGCTGGAAACGTAAAGTCTTGTCCTAAAGTAAATAAGGAAGTAAGACTTGTGAAAATGGTGTGGGTGAATATGCACAAACATGCAGACTGGCGTGTTTTTTTTAAAGTCCCTGTCTCCTCTGTTTTAAGGTGGCGAAGCTACAGTCGGTATTACAGCCCTTAATGCCGACATCGAGGAAGAAGCTGAAGAAGATCGCTGTGTCTGGCGTGCCGATCAACGAGGCTGAGGTCTCCAAGTCTGACCTGCCAAGAAAGCCCAAACAGTCTGGGTAAGTAGTTTCAAAAATACATCAATATAAATTAAAAGCAATGGTAATAGAGTTAACCAAATCTGCCTTTGCTGACAACTCAATGGTATTGAAGTTGATGGTTATTGCAGACAGAAAATTCTAGGATAGTCTTTTTAACATTTGAGGGTTTGGATTAAGGGTCAAGTTAAAAATCTAGCTTCTTATTCAACACCAGTTTTACTCGTTAAAACATGTATTTGCTGCTACATCTGTCTCACTATGATGGACCACTTGGTATTGAATTTGTTAACAAATAATGCAGCGTGTGCCTCAGTAGAGGAAAGACGGTGCTCTAGGTGCTGACTAAAGTGCACTGCAAATACTTCTCTGTTACTAATAAATCAACTATGAAAACGCCGTTCAGAATTTACAATAATTACGTGTAACTATACGTTTATTTTCTTTCAACAATGTGTACCTAGAACGTTTTCTTAGAGACAATGTAAGCATTGTGGATGTGACACTTGTAAAACTGTCAGTCTATGGTAAATCAAGCGTGCATTAGACAGTCGATACTTTTGTAGCTTTGCATAGTACTTGTTTTGACTCATTATATTCTGTACGCTATAGTTACGTACACGGTACTTTTCTTGTCTGTTTACACTGCAAACATTGTGGGGGTCGTTCTTCGGGCAATCCGCGTCCTAATAAGTGACTAAACGTAACACAGCTCCGCTTGAAGATTTATAAAAACTCTAACGCACATAAATGTTGCCATGATGTACATTTGGCGTTAAGTATACTAATTAAGCCACAGCAAGTCGTTGTTATGGATGACAGTAGCGTGCGCATTGATTTTCGCCTTATTTTGGAAAAACTAAAGAGACATTTTGTTGCCCTTTGACAGTGGACAACATGCCGAAAATATGTCTGTTGCCATGCCAGAACGTGGATGACATATAAATAAGAAGAGAGGATACAAGACAAGGCTCTGATTCAATATTTTGTCTTTTACTTTGATGCAGCTGTGTTGTATTTCATTCCTTTATATGTAATGCTGCCGCTAAATAAAAAAAGTCTTGTTTAACATGGTTCATGATCTCAAAATTTGAAAATATAGAAATATTTTTTTTTGGGGGGTGCCTTGTTTTTTTCGCCCTATCGCATTAGATTTGGAGTCTACGGAGGATGTCATCCATAAAACTTACTTGCTGTGGCCTAAAACACCAACGCTACTTCTTGCATCTACTAGGTGTAAGGTTACAACTGTCTCGGAGTTAGTGTGAATGTTGAGTGAACTTGTAATTCCACCACAGATACAGAAAAGAAAGGCATGTTGCCGACCATGATGGTTTACTCAGATGTAATTATGTCGATCAACATTATCTTTCTCATTATCAATTTTGCCTTGTGTAACACATTTATTACTTCGAATTACTTATCTAAGGAGTGTATTAATGCGCTCATTATAACCAGACATAAAGTGACGCAGTTTAATTTGTCTCCAAACAAACTTGGCTCTCAAAACTCTGTGTGCTACTTTATGTTTCGACGTTTGAGTGAGGTTTTCATTATTTTCTCTACTTAAGAAAGAAATGCGCATGTACAAGCATTTTACGCCTGTAATACTTACACTAATAGTGCCCCCTCCCCCCCCCCCACATTGGCGTAATTTTTAATCAATAACTAACGTGATCTGTTTGGAATTTTGTTGGATAAATAACGCCACTCCAGAGACGTGTAAATCAATGAAGTTGCTGTTAATAAGTTATAAAACATTTAACGTTTACTTTTTTTCTTTGAACAAGTCACTCACACTGTAGATTAAATCTGCATTTTCTTATGGAGAGGGTTTTTCGTAGATGTGACTGTAATTATCATGAAAACCTGGATAAATATGTAGATATTTTACGTTAAATTTAACTGTAAAGTAACGATCAATATTACACATTTCATATGACACAACGTACAAACGCAACCAAAGGGGCGTGGTTTAACTTAATTTGGGCCATGAGTTGCTAATAACTAAATTAAATACTGATGAAAAAGTAACCAAAGTCTGGCAGAACAGAAATTCGACAATATGGTACATGGAATAAATAAAAATAATAAAAAAAGTACCAATTTTTTTTACATTTAAAGTGTCAGGGCGATGATCAAGGCGGCCATCTTGAATAATGACTTTCTGAAGTATCTGGAGGAGGATCAGATCGACACCATAGTGGACTGTATGTACAAGAAGGAGGTTCCCGCTGGGACTAAGGTCATCACTGAGGGGGAGATGGGGCTCCACCTGTACGTCACAGAAGGTACTGCAGTCTTCTAGTTGCAACAATGAATCATTTCATAGTGAATGATAAAATTGAAAAGGGTCTAGATCAAATAACAATTCATCTCAATTCAATTCAACCTGAGTGTTGGTTAAGATTTTTATTTATATATTTATTCTTTTATGAAGATTTAAGGATTGACATATAGGTGGTTGACATAGGTGGCTATCACCTCTTCAAGATATCAAACCTAAGGCCACATTGTAAGGTCCCCTGCTCTTGTGTGGTCATAGATGTGGTGGGCTGATTTACTTTTTTTTTCTTAAGAAAGCTTAAAAACAATGACTTTTATGCCCGCCCCTTTTCTCCCCACAGAGGGTGAGCTTCAGGTGTCTAAGGAAGGTAAGATCCTGAGGAACATGGGCAGACAGACGCTGTTTGGAGAACTGGCGCTGCTGTACGACTGTGAGCGTACTGCAACCGTGCAAGGTAAGTCTTAAACATCTAAAACAACAACTCAAAGGCGGTATTAAAATGAGCTATAATCACAGTACAAGGCAGTGCAATGTATTATCATGTAGCCAGAGTATGGAGACTAATCACAAGCGTCTATTCCTGTACGTTTCGCTCATTCGGTGGTTTATTCAGTGGTCATAGCTCATTCATTCGATACATTCAAAGATAAATACATGCAGCATACATCGTTTATACCATACATGTTGTCTTGTTCTTCAGCACTGACGCCTGCACGACTGTGGACAATAGACAGGAGGATTTTCCAGCTCATCATGATGAAAACAACCAAAACCAAACTAGAAGCATACGTCTCGTTTCTCAAGAGGTATGTTGTTTCTTTCGACTCGGTCAGTTTCTTCAAGATCATGATTGAACGTTACGTCACAGCCGCCATGTTGGTTGGTTAAACCTGGAGGAATATAACCTGTATTTGCAAAGATAACGTCATAAATACATTACCAGTTAGTTAAAAATCGGCTAATGTTCTCTCCACAGCGTCCCACTGCTGCAGACCGCGTCAGAACAAAACCTTGTGCGGATCGCGGAATGTTTGGAGGAGGTAAAACCTTTCTTTATTGCCTTTTTGGTGGCGCCTCAGGGGCGGAACCCTCTTTCTTTACTTTATTAGTGACACCGAGTCATTCCTTAGAGAAGTCATTCATGACTTAACAACAAACTTTGCGGCTTTTAGTACAGATTTGGCTGTTAAGTCACGACGCATTTCTGTCTTCATTGTTTAGGAAACGTACGAACAGGGACAGTACATTGTACGGCAGGGGGAGGTAGGAGATTGCTTCTTCATCATCATGGACGGCGAGGTGAGTACAAGATCAACTACGTACCGTATCGATTTCATGATCTTAGCGCCTTATATGGTAAGTACGTGATCATGATGTTTAAAATGGCGGCCATATTGATCTCGTTCCCAGGTTCGTGTGACTGAGAAAGTTGGAAACAGAATCCAGGAAAAACGGAAGCTCAACCGAGGAGACTACTTTGGGGAAAAAGCACTTGATGGCCAAGGGTAAGGGTTTGCAACATGCTAGTCAAAGTTCGACATTATAGAAAAACATTGACCTTGAAAATTATACTTTTAAACGCTTTTGAGTACATAAACATTAGATATTAGAATTGTGAATTCGGCTTCCTAATGTTTTTTTCCTGCTATGCTTTTTTACCAGGGATGTGAGGACTGCGAGCTGCATAGCGGAGACTCCCATTGTCAAGTGCCTACTGTTGGACAGGGGGTGAGCGGACATTTCTATCGTTTAACTGTCATTTAAACGTTAACGTTTAGAGACATTGTCTGATTTTTGCCTAGTTCAAATTCCAAGCGAAAGATCGCATCCAACGTTGCTACCTATGATTAAAATGATAGATTTTGGATATTGAATATTAATTGATCTGAAGTGTCATGACGCAAAGTCCTCATTTTGTTTTACAGACCTTTCATGAAGCTGATAGGGTCTCTGCAGGAAATGAAAGAAGCTCTCGCCAGGTAAGGAATTTGTTTTCTTGCGAAATATCATGTTACTTGAGATGCCGGTGAATATTTGTGTGCTACTTGTGCCTTAAATTGACAACATTTTCTTCTTTACATATAATGCTTCCAGTGACACTGACCCTTTGAACATATATGTAACTTCGAAATATAAAAATAATGATAAAAATTTGTAGTATTGTTTCACCCCTATTCCAGACGGCCTGGTTCGCTACCACGACCTCAGTCAGAGTACACCGACGAAGAGATATTGCTGAAAGATCTCGAAACCATCGCAACTCTGGGAGTCGGTGGCTTTGGGCGTGTCAAATTGGTAAGTACAATGCGGATCGATCCACTTCACAGCATTATTTTAAATAACTTACAAACGAGGATGTACGCTTATTGTGGAGAGGGATAGTGTAACGGGTAGTCGTGTAAAGGGTCGTGTGACAAAGCATTGATCGAACAAGTGTTACGTTGCAATTAAATAAGTAGAAGATGATTCAGGTTGATCATAGGTGACCATGAAACACTGCCTGCTCTTGCTGTTCGAAGGTCCGCTGGAAGGACAAGTCTTTCGCCCTGAAGTGCCTAAAGAAGCGCCACATCGTCAACACCAAACAGCAGAAGCATGTGGCCTCGGAGAAGAAAATCATGATGGCGGCCAACTCGCCCTTCATCATCAAGTAAGACAATTTATTTTCTTAACCCAACCCTCTCCATAACTGGGGACTACCCTTGTTAAACACAGAGAGATAAACACGTTTTTTTTTTACAATCGCAGCTAGACTAAATTGAATCTCGATCAACTATCTGCTTTCTTTATGCATTTCTGATGTGAAATTCTCCTACTTGAACAGACTGCATCGCACATTCAAGGACAACAAATATGTGTACATGCTGATGGACGCGTGCTTGGGAGGCGAGCTTTGGAGCGTGTTGAGGGACGAGTAAGTACTTACACTTCTCAATAAGGCGATTTTATTTCGGAGATCGACCTCGATGCGCTGGTAGCTATAGGCATCCGTGTTGTTGTAACTCTAAGCAGCTCAGGCCTCGTACATTCTCATGTCAAAACCTTGCGGGATTCTAACAGAAATACGAATCTAAAAAAAAAGACCGTTTTTTTTTACAGTGTTGTGATGCATACCAGTGAGTAAAAAAAGGCCTTGCCATCAAAATTCACAATCTACCGTTTTATACAACGGGACTTTTTATATATATATAAATGATAGTTTATTTGTTTATTTCTTTATTTATTTTTAATGGTTGTCGTTTGGTTGTTTTCAGACAGTCGTTCCCTGACGCCACGGCTCGGTTCTGCACGGCGTGTGTGATCGAGGCTCTGTCCTACCTACACAACATGGGGATCGTCTACCGGGATCTCAAGCCGGAGAACCTCCTCATCGACCAGAAGGGCTACGTCAAACTGGTGCGTAGTAGAAATAAATTAACGTTCCAAACGAAGAAAAATATATTGCACATAGGAAAATAAACTTTGTATCGTAAAAAAAAGGCTTTTGTTAGCTTGAAAATAAAAATAAAAAAACCCAATCGTCAAAACCTCTTTTAAACAATTGAAAAAGATTATCAAAGCACATGCACTTCATCAAGAAAGTTTGAAAAACACACCCAAAACGATGAGAGAACGTAACGCATCCATGCTCATAATTTTTTGTCTTGGCCGCAGTGTGATTTCGGATTTGCCAAGCAGATCGGCTATGAGCGCAAGACGTGGACGTTTTGCGGCACTCCAGAGTACGTCGCACCGGAAATCATCCTCAACAAAGGTCACGACCTTTCCACTGACATCTGGTCCATCGGGATCCTCATGTACGAGCTGCTGACTGGGATGTAAGTTTAGAGCTGGTTTTCATTGTGCACTTAACGTCTGTACCGCTAGGAGCGCCCCTTTTCTACATGTTTATTTTAAAAATGTCAGTTCTGACACTCTAAATAACCAAAGTCAGATGAACTCCAGCATCAATGAACCAGTTTTCCAGTTAAAACAATTAACAGCATTGTTTGTTTTAATAATTGTTTGAATGCAATAGTAAGGGCAAAATTATTGTATTTTTCATGTTGCTCTGCACATTTTCCTTTTCCTCTGCTTCTAGGCCTCCGTTTTCTGCAACTGACCCCATGAAGACCTACAACCTGATTCTGAAGGGCATCGACAGCATCGACTTTCCCAGGAAGGTCGGCAAGATGGCGAAGGACCTCATCAGACGACTCTGCAGGTCAGGGGCAGACAAACCCTACTTTTGACCTAATTTTTTCATGTATCCATCCGCCCTGGGCAGGCAAGGCCTCATCACACAGATCTCTCATTATGCTCACTCAACTGGTAAAATAAACAAAATTTTACCAACGTAGGAAAGTGTAGACCCTACCTGTTCTTTCTAGTCTCCAAACTGGACCAAAATATTCAAGAGAAAAATGATTTTCAATGATATTAACTAGGGACTACATTTTGGTGGCCTCTACTGCACAACGAAATAGTGACGTCTGTCCTCAGGACACCTGAAGTAGGTTACATCATGGGCTATAAGGTTATGGTATCATGCTGCAGTTTTTGTGTTAAGTGATGTTTACACATTACTTATTTGTTTTTTGGATTCCCCACAGAGAGAACACTGCTGAGAGACTGGGCAACCAGTCAAACGGCATCGCAGACATCAGGAGACACAAGTAGGTTTAGTATATGTTCTTCTTCTTGCAACTGTGCATTCATATCTGTTCATACGTTTCCAATGCGTCATGCACTGTTTAAATTCCGGTTGCATTAATGAATTTGACATTTGCCTTTTGCGTCATTATCACATCCCATTTGCTCATGCATCAGTCAATCTCAATCATTTTCCTGTCAACAGAAAACGTATTCGATTTTCGCATGTAGTGTTTTCTCCCTGTAAGATTCATTTAGTTTATAGAACATATTTCGTATGCATACTGTTATGACTTAAACCTGATTTACGTCAGATTCCGATTTACGTTGCTCTCATTTTAGATGGTTCCATGGGTTTGACTGGGAAGGTCTGAACAACATGACGATGTCACCTCCGGGTCCGCTGAAGAGGAAGGTGGGTGGAAAATCTCATCTGTAATGGACCAAAGCTGACCACGGTCTGACGTAGACTACTTAATTACGTCATACAATGTCCTTCTGTGCCCTCGTAGGGCACATAATCGCATGTATTATGGCCTAGGGAAAAATGCTGATACCCGAACGACCCTAGAAAAACTGCCGACCCTAGCCTTTTTTGGTGGATCCCTGCAAGGGACATAAATTTTTCGAGCTAATTATGATCTCCATGATCTGACACCTGAGTGATGAAACATTGTACAATCAGTTTTCCAACAATGACATTGAAAATATGAGTGTCCTCATGTAAGGCCACACCAAGTAAATTTTATGGATGACGTCCGCGCGCGCATTGATTTTGGCCTGTTCCTAGAAAAAAAAAGAAATTCCGCTTCCTGTAACTATGACCAAAGAGTCACGACAGTGCCGCAAATAGGTTTGTACGGACCAAAGCTTATAAAGCATCAAGCAAGACTTCCATTAGGAATTCAGTTTGGTACATGCTGCCACATTTGAAGAAACTTGCTGACCGCACCATCTATCTCCCCAAAGCACAGGACGACAAGTGCTGTTCCACCTGATTTATTCCTGTTTTGATGATGAATAAAAAAATTCTTGCTTGTTACACTGTGTCACCTCATTCAATTTGTGTCCTAACATTTGTCGTCTCTTAGTATATTTCTAATCTAGGCATCTTGTTTTTTAGGGCCCTTCTTGTTTTTTTTCGCCCTCTCGCATTAGATTTAGGGTCTCCAAAGGACGTCATCCATAAAATTTACTTGGTGTGGCCTAAGCTCTACTTCTTAAATTGTGTTATTCTTAAGTCTAAAAAAAGAAAAGAAAATTTTTAACTACCGACCCTAATTTTCCAGGACTGAAACAGGAAACACAGAATTTTCTCTAGGCCTAAGCATTCTATGACGAATACTAATCATTCATCTATTGGTTAACCAGAATCTGTGACAGAATTATGTCATTATGTTAGATCCATGATGCAACAGATAACTGGCCCACAGTGAACCACATAGTATTTTTTCGTTTAAGGGACAGAAGCACTTTACAGACAATTTGACTATAAAAAGACGACACGACGAATGCACGTAAGTAATACAAACTTGGCAGTCTTGCAGCATCTCCCAGGACACTCAAAGTAAAGTTAAGAAACTGAAGACACAGCAGTTCTTGAATCTTCGCTGAGATACGACCATGACCATTGATTTTCTGTCTTTTGTGTTCTACTTTCAGATTAATGGTCCATTTGATGCGTCCAACTTTGATCCGTACCCGGATGACAATGAGAATCCCCCAGACGAACTGTCTGGCTGGGACGTTGACTTTTAAGTCCCGTTGTCTCGTCCAGCCAATTAAGGCACAGGAAGATGCCTTCCGGTACATCTTCCCAGTCAGATCTACCGTTAGGACGCCTGTAATCAAATAGATCAGTTACCTTCCAATCATTGCAAGAGTCAGGCTCAATCAGATGAGAGTAAAAAGGAGACGACCTAATTTTCCCCAGATATCGTTTAGAAAGAATCAGAGATGCACCCTGTAGTTTTGATGATTACCAGTGGCAATTTAGGTCAATCTCGTCACACTCTTTGACCCATTGCCCACGTCATTGCTTCGGTAAGGTGACGTGTCCTGAACAACTGGGGTCAGTCTTCCTAAAGTAGAGCAAAGATACATTCTGCTCTATAGTCAACAGATAGAAAGCTTAAAGTTTACAAAACATTTTATTAGGCTTTAATCGACGATGTAATATTGCTATTGTCAACGATAATTAAGGCTTAATGACCCGCCTTGAGGTTTCTACGGTATTACATAACGAATGACCAGTGAGCTGTCACCACTAAACTACTGAGCAAGCAAAGCATGATGGCTGTTAAGCTGATAGAAATGAGGAATGTAATTGCTCAACAATCCACGGCCCACCATTTCGAACTTCAATTGAAATATATGGTAAACATCTAAAAAGTGAGCTGTCAAATATCACCTTCAGTTTTGTAACTATTGCAAACTCACATTGATAGGGTAGCTTGGCCTCCAAATTTTTCATTTAGCCCCAAATTCTTCTTTTTTAAACAGGCACAAACTCATTGTAGGCCAGTGTTTTTTTTCCAAGGAAATAAAAAGAAAGAAAACCTTTCAGCTACAAAATGTCAGTAATTAGCAAAATATGCCAAAAAAGGCTGTTTATTGTTGGTTTGGATGCTCTCACCAACGGCTGCTCAAAATGGGCCTTCTGCGCCTGCACGTAATGGTGATCAATGCCAAAGACAGCCTGGCAAAATAATTCTATGAACTAAACTCTCTACTTAGGCAACATTTAATCATTGTCTTAGTTAATGCCATTGACATCAAACTCTGGTTGGAATATATTTAATACTAAGATGTTGATATTTAGTTTTTATTTCATCTAATCAAAATAACGACTTCCAAGAAAGACTGGTATCACACGATGTAATAATTATCACAACGATGCTACTGCATAAACAGTAGTTTTGACAGTCTTTGTATCATATAGCTCTGTATAAGTTTCTTGACAACTTTACTCTATCTAACAATGTACAGAAACTGAATATATCTTACAAATCAAAAATTTGCTGAACAAAAGGCAACTTTGCTTCAAACTATCGAATGAATGTACGTATCAGTAATGATATGTTTTCACAATCTCAGGCAGAGGGTTCAGTCAGCTACTAACAGCAAAGATTGTTCAACACAGGCTAATCTGTATTGCTAAACATCACAGGATTACGAGGCACTAGCGGCTAGTCCCTGTTCCCTGTTCTACATTATACACGTAAGGTCACTAAAGGTATAACTTCAAATAGTCTGGACTTCATTCTGTACGACTTGACTTTATAATTGTTTTATTAAAGTTGGAATCTTGGAATGTTCCTTTTTAATATTTCCGAATGACTACGATTTCTTTGTCCATCTTGGATAGATTTACTGAAACAACAGGCTTACAGACACTTGTCAAGGACACTTGTCAATCACAACATTGATAAGGTCATTATCATATAAGAGTTGTTGTTTTGACATTGTATGTGGAATAAAAGTAGTGGGGGTCCTTTTGAATAATCCAAATAAAACCATACTTCTCGATACGTATCTAGATGTTATGCATATGTGGCTGCCCAGTAAATGATGTTCAACACTACGAAGGTAAAAGGAAACATGATTCTTGAAATTTTGTCTATTCGGTTCACGTTTTCATCTTTGATGAGTCTTTCGGTGATCTCAGAGAGAGACAATCTTCCTCCAAATGTTCGGAACCACCCGAGTCTTCCCATGTCCAAAGACTGGATGAATGAGTTCCTTCGCGGCTCTTCGTTGCGAGCCGGATCTTCACTCATAGAATTTCTTCGTCTGTTACCTGAAAATCCAGCGGCGTTTCCTAAACTATCACGCCGTTTCTCGGACTGTGCTCTTCTTGGTCTTGAGGGGAACGTCGCTGCCTTTACAAACCCGAACCGGTCGCTGGTTGCGAATTCTTCACCACCGCGCATGCTCCTGATCCGTCCGTTTCTGGTTATTGTTCTGACGTCATCATCTTCTACGTCATCAGCATCCGGGTACCTCCGTCCAAATGAGACGCCGTGTTTTCGGGCGAATTTGGAGTAAGAATGCCCCACTACATCCGCCACGTCAACGTAATATCTGTGTGGCCCTTTCCGCTTTATCCCTTTTACGCCTGGTATTTTCTCTATCCCAAACGGCGTCTTGCAATCAGGGCAACAATCCCCTCCGCAACTCCTGATGGTAGTCTCGTTTAGTCTCGATCTTGAAGCACAATTCACCTCTTTATCTGGTACTTTCTTTGGGGCTGTCGTTCTTTCAATAGTCTCTTCGATAATTTCGATGTCTTTGGGATCTCCCCCGTTACCTTCGTCGTTGACGAAGTCCATCACTCGAAGGCGCCTTCTTATTTTACCAGTTGAGGTGAGATCTACGATGTCGTCCGAGTCGTCCGAATCTTCCATCTGATGTATAATCCCTCCTGCCGGCTGTACTCTCCCCATCTCCATCAGGTCTCCGTTTTGCTCCTGTGGGTTTGTAGTAAAGGTGCCAAAGGAAGGCAGTTAACACACATATCACCGGAGACTGATCTGACTGAATCTTTTGTTCTTGTGCCTTTATGCATGGTAGAGAACCTTGGACGCTTGATGTGTCAATTTGTCTTTGTGTCGGTTTTTCCCTCAAAGGTACTGTAAACAGGGGCCCCTTTGTCAACATGATAAATATATCCATACTTCCAGGGACTGTGTTTGTCGTTGTACCCACCTTACTTTAATTGACGTCAACTTTCATAACCCATACCAATTTTGAAAAAGAGGATAAAATTTGAATTCAACGTACGTGCCCACAATACTGACTTCAACCCCATTTTTCGCCCATAATTGACAAACTCACATCATATGCTTTTTCTCACCAAAAAAAAAGGTGTATACCTGACACTTTCGCAACTACTCGGGCCTTCTTTAACTCTACCGAAGCTGGAAGATACATTGTTAGCAGAAATGCCAAAAGCAATAATCCATGGATCACTTAGGAACAAAATTAGCTCAGGCCGACAGAACCACGGGATAGATGGTGTAGATAGAATGTCAGGTGTCACGCTTCATTCTGCTTACATCTGATCATAGCTCTCGCTAGTTAAGCTGCATGTTTCATTTACCACGTTGCCATATTGGCTGTCATATTATGTTTATACAGTGCACACGACTGCAATAGTCATTGCCATGATCCTGTTTCAAAGTTTACACTAACTGAAGTTCAAATGAATCTGTTAGGGGGTCCAAACCAACATAACCTTTTAATTTTTCAGCCTAACACCTACCAGCCAATCGATGTTCGCCATAGCATGTTTAGAACCTAATGCCAAAAATGTGAAATTCCGCAATGACAATAGTATTATAATATTAAGTAGCCCGAAATCGAATTGTTCCTTCGTATTACCCAGACCTATCCACATACCAAATTTCATAACAACAGTTTTTTTTGTTTTGTTACTATGCGTTAAACTACTCAAAAAAACATGAATACAGACACGAACACTACATTAAACACATTGCCAAGGTGGTAAGATATAGTCACCTCCTGGAAGCTTCGACTGTAAGCAAGTCTTCTCCACTTTCGCCTGACACCTTCCTTCTTTCTTCTCTTCATGGTGGCGGTGTGGTAGTGGTAGTTGACGGCGGCATACTCCAGCAACGCGCCGAAAACAAAAATGAGACACCCCACCAAGTACACGTCAATGGCCTTCACGTAAGAGATCTTGGGGAGTCCTTGACGTACCGTGGCGTCGAGATTTGTCATAGTCAGCACAGTCATGATGCCTGCAGACAGACGAAATGGATTATGCAAAAAATACGATCGAACAGTCTGCAGTGCGAAACGCCTAAAGCTATGACAATAAATCATTCATCTTACATGTCATAGATCACGTCTTAATAATCTGTTAGATGTAAACTTGCCACAGGGTTATAGTGGCATATTGGTAAGTGCTCGTGTATCTCGCTACGAAAATGTGTCAAATGTACTCCTACTCTAGACCAATATCGACTTGTAGAGCCCTTAAATTTATCATTTCTGGCGTGGCATTTAAGAATAAAGTATTATACAGCCTAGGGATTCATAATTTTGCTTACTACTGATGTTTCTAAGAGTTGTGGATTTAACCAGTTCTATAGATCGATGATGACACTTACAGCTGAGACTTACGTTTAGTTCAATAAATCCCCACGGTATATTGATTAATATTGGAGAAAAGGCTGTACTAAACTTGCTTGCGACAAAAAGTTTACACTTAAACTGTATAAAGTAACTCTGGTTACCCAGAAGAACCCGCGCAGCAGAGGCATCAGGACTGATCCAAAACGAGACCCAGGAAACAGCCACCACAAGGCATGACGGGAGATACGTCTCCGATATGAAGTATCCCATGTTCCGTCGAATCACGAAGGAAAGAGCAAGCCCAGAAAACTGTCCTGCAAGGGCAGACAATGAGTCTTTCACCATCTAGAGTTGATAGAATAGCACCCCGAAGCCATTGATTACAAAGAACATGGCCGCTCATATCTATTAATAAACAATGTCTGATTCAAAGTATGATTTATTATTTCTTCAACGTAAAATCGTCATAATAAGTCAACCTCATTCCTCTTTATATTTTGTTTACTCTATTTTCTTAATTTTTGCATCCTTTATTTACTAACTCGTGGTGATTTGTAACTGTACTACTAACAGTTTAAAGGCGGCAAACAGCAAAATCATTTTATCATTTCCGACAGGTTTTTCTCTGACAAATTTTCCTTGGTATTCCTTTCTCTCTGAGCACTTAACGTAAATGGAAGAAGTCATGCACTAAAATTTATCACGTTCTCTTATTGTACTACGGGGGAATATGCCGCGTATGAATAAGAGCCTCAGCAAATCCAGCCAAGAGATAAAAGTTCATTTCATCTATTTCGTTCCATTACTGCATTACCTTATCTTTTTCCGTAGTCGGTGCAATCTGCGTGAATTAAGGCCACAGCAAGTAAATTTTATGGATGACATACTCCGCAGACGTAAAGTCCAATGCGATAGGGCGACAAGGCGGGAAAAAAACAAGATTCCTAAATTGTCAAACTGTGTTATATTGTGCTAAGTTTACTGCCAACTATTACAACATTAACTTCCCATTTAAAAACAACTTTGAAAAATGAAAGGCTTCAATCATTGTAGAAATTGTTTTGATTCGGTGGAAAAATCACATATACACAGCCACCAAGACAAAACAGTAAATCAGAGCTTTGTCTTGACTTCATATTTATCTGCCATCCATGTTCCGGCATGTGATGTGATGACTGGTTTATTCATATATATATAAACACATAAACAAATAAAAGTCTGTGGCAGCCAAGACTTTTGCACCTTAATGCATAGCTAGCAACAGACATCTTTGCAATTTTCGGCTTATTGTCCACTGTCAAGGGGCAACAAAATTTCTTGTTTTTTTTTTCCAAAATCAGGCGAAAATCAATGCGCGCGCTGATGTCATCCATGAAAATTACTAGCTGTGGCGTTGCCCTATCTTTTTTCCCTAGTCAGTGTAATCTGGGTGAATTAAGGCGCAAAGTGCCGTGCCGCCAGCACTAACCTGTGGTGTACTGTGCCGCTGTCTCGTGGGTGTCATAACCGCCCAGGTCAAAGTGAGGCAACTCAACATTTTCAAACCCTCGCACGGAGTCAAATCCCCAGAGCCAGTAGTACACTAAATCTTCCGTCGTATAACCGTCTGTAGACAAAAGGCATCAGACACTTAAATGTTAATTAGTCCCACGCGACTCATCTATTATGAATCATTATAACAGTTCAAACGTATTAGAAGCTATCTAAGGTATACTCAATATAAAGTATCATATAATCCAAAGAAACTAATAACCTGGGATATATTGGCGAACTTGGCAGTTTGTCAAGTCATAACATTGGTTTAGAATCTTAAATCTGTACAAGATCAAGGACGTACTGGTACAAAGTGACTGTGGAGCTTCTTTGAATTCTGCAACTTTTAAGTTTTATCGTTGAAGAGGTTCATCAGTCATGTAAGATTATTCATCAATTAGTGACTTGTTTTGAAGGGTAGAAACACGTACCTCCAAATTTTCGATGTCAACTGTACATCTTGATAACGGAGTGACCTAGTCTCGCGAGAACACTAGACTAGGTTGAGACTTGTGCCGTTTCTTTAGTTTTAGTTTTTTGTAATGCTACTGTTTAATTTCAAAGCCATTTTTATCAATTCCGATGTAATTTTACTCGTATCTAACTGTTGTGTGTCATGTTTTGTAATGCATGGAGGACGGCATCAGCTGAATTTACTACCTAGTGCTCCACTTGTATTGTCGTTGCAAATTGAATAAAGAAAGAAAGAATCTTACATGTTTCAAACTGTAGTGTGCAGTTTTGGGCATCCAGTGGGTACATGTGCATCTTCATCCAACAAGAGGCAGTGGTTGTTAATCTGAATAAAAAATAATTATACTTCACGTTAAATTCTGTGCATTACCAATTAATATCACTCTCGTCTTTAAACATGGGGAGTGTTTCTAACAGGAATGACGTAGGTAACAATAGAAAATGCGCATTAACATTGGTTCGGGAACTATAGGTTACCGACCAACCTGATACCAATTCATAAAAACATAAAACATAGAGTCCATTATTTTTGGGGTGGTACCCTTAAAACAATCCAGGTCCTTCCAGTAACCGTTTTTTGTCAGACCTTTGGGTATTTTTGCTCCATGAATGTCGATATACATTGGGACAGTATTGTTTTAGTATGTAGAAAAGTGACTAGAATATTGACTTTGAAAACGTGGGTTTCCAAGCCCTACAAACTGCATTGAATGCCTTGAAACCTTAGTTTATAAATGACGCTTCCATTATTGAAGATGTGCATGAGCTGCTGCCCGATGGTGACGTCGTGGAACCTGGAGCCGCGCCCGTTCTTGATGAACGTGTCAGGCCGCCAGATCCGCAGGGTGGTCTCCCCTTCAAACGTCATCTTCTCTCCGTCGTACAGATGGCGGAAGTCCAGCCTCTCGTCCACCCAAGACTGCCGGATGTCGTAAGACACAGTGTACTCCTGTTTGTGAAATGTTGAGCTTTAATAAGATTAAATACAGTTAAACCTGCCCAAGGATCGAGACCACACTGGGGACTGGAGAAAAGCGGTCACCTTGGACAGGTGGTCTCCTTGAGGAGGACGGCCTCACAACATGACTAAAACATAAATGGTTTCCAAGTCGAGATGTTCTAATGTGAAATGCTGTAAGCATATTCAGTTCTGTGGTGAATGCATGTGTGTGTGGGGGGGGGGGGGGGTAGCACATGGCACAATTTACGTCAAACAAAAATCATTGTCCAACAAAAACATTTTCCTTCTGCGAAGGGAAACATAATAAGATTTAACGTTTTTAACATTATGATACAAGGAGTTCAAATAACAAACATTAATGTAAGAAAAATATCAGTACAAGGAACTTGCAGTAAAAATGCAAGAAGTTGTAATCATCATGTAGAGAACTGAAATGAACTGCATTATACTTTACGTAGTATTTTAACATTGGGTAGTAAGACACAGTAGAACGTTACAAACTATGCATTGCTCTTACCATATTAACATCTGAAATGCTGTCTATGCTGATGACATCTACAAGGACCCCAACTTTAACCGGAGCACCTACGGAATAGAAAGAACGCTGCAGGTCACGTCACAGAAACAGTGGCGTGTATAATGGCGTGTATTAACTATCTCCCTTGTGAAAGTGAAAAAGACGTTGTGCCGTTCAAGTTACAGGAATGAAGTTACAAGTTGAAGTACCTCTAAAATTGGGGCGTATTCGCAGATCGTAGTGGTGTAAAAGTCTCTCAATGGCCAAGGTCATATCCCATCGTCCTTCTGCAACACTGTAAGACAAACGGAACAGCATATTCGTACAAAAATATCGATCATAATCTGTGTGTCATCGACATAGTAGATGATTAGATGATTTAGAAACTCTAATAATAAATAGCAATATTCAAGTGGTGGATATCAACATTTTTGTTCTACCTAAAACGTACTGTACTAATTGATGTATTTTCGACACTATTTTCAATTTCATTTTCATTTAATTTATCATATTAATTCATTTATGTTTATTGGTGCGCCAGTCACTTTCATTTTATGTTCGCTACACATTTTGTATGTGTTCTTTCATCCTGTATTTTGTATGTTTTATATTCTTCAGCAAAGGATCTTATAAGCAAATTTATGCTTGCTATCTAATGCTCAAAAATTCATGTGAATAAAATAAAATGAAAAGAAACTATTCGCTACATACAGTAAGATTGCCTCTGACAGCTTGCATACTGCTATTGGCCTTGTGACACCAGACGTCTACCTCGTTTATGTTTTAGTATCCGTTGCGGATGTGTAAAATATCAGCGATACTTGCTTTTGTGCAGTTACATTATGCAAACATGTCAAGCAGGGATCGAAGTGCACTCAAATTTGGAACTGTACACCCAATTCTTTGTTTCTGTGGATGCACCAGTGCACCCAAATATTTACGCATGAAAAGATGTTAAATGTACAGTAGTATACAGCATATTCTTAACATGTGCTAGAAAAATAATGAAATCATTACAGTAGGACTTTTCTTTAGAAACGAAACATAATCAGTTTTTGCTGACATTCTACTTATATAATTTTATATGGTCACATAAAAATGTTTTTGTGCACCCAATTGTTTACGTTGGGTGCACCAGTGCACTTATTCCCAAAATGACTTTCGAGCCCTGTCAAGTCAAGTCAAAGTTTCTAGTACATCTCTACACGTAAACTACGCTATACTATACTATATTCCAAAAGAGTACAATGAGCAGTTGTATATATACTATACAGGTTCTATGAGTACTGTACAGAGTGCCGACTAAATTACTGGCTAAGATCTATTACATACAAATCTACATATAGGTCATCCTATGTATATCAATGTACATATTATACAAGCACGTTTAACACACTGTACATGACACACTGATGGGTGGTGAATGTCAAATGCCACAGGTCATTGTATAATTGATGATTAAGATCAGGCACCTACGCATTTGAAGCAATATCATATCAGAAGAAATAATTAACCTTGAAGATCATGCCAAGTGTTGATAGCTTTCCACTTCTTGATAAGTGAAAAAGGTCATCTTTTCATGCATGGGCCACAGGTCAATGACACACCTTAAAATTAATTGCATTACCATTTGTCTCAGGGTTTGAGAATCGCAGTAGATTACGCATAAGGTCACAGATTAAGGTTCATTCAGAAGCAAACAAACTGTCACGGGTGATATTTTTTGTTATTCCAACATTTCATGACTAGACATGGTGACGGCACTCCCAAGTTTTATTTACTTATTTTATGCCACCAACAACGCAGAGGACCAATACAGGACAGGACAATATCCATTTAACGTGAGTGAAGTGAGGAAAGTCGTGTTAAGTGCATTTCACAAGGGCACAAGATCGGTCGGACATGTCAGGACTCGAACCCGAGACCTGTTGGCTCCGAGTCGAGCACTCTGCCGCTAAGCCACACGACCCTAGATTCCACATGGTTACGTCCCAATTTACTTAGTGTTGTACATAACTGTTAGCCTTTTTGTATGGACAACTTTTCCTTTTACACTTCACAAAAGACGCCTTTCAACAAAACACCGTATTATAAATGATGAGGTTCTCCACACATAAATTGAATTCACAACTTTAATATGCATGGCAATGTTGATGAAATTAGAAATCTGCAGAAAGTTATATTATCACTTATCAATGTTTTGTATGCTCAAGACATGACACGCTGAATGAACTAACAATGGACCGGTTAGTGTACATGCTGCCTATTGGGTTCAGTAGCTACCAGTGAACACCCTACGATGCATTTGCGTAGATAACCTTTGGCTTTACAAGATGTTCGTCCTCCCTGAGGCACCAAAGGAGGCAAAGCACTTTGGAAAGACCAGATAATCACGTCAACGTGCAGCTGCACCCCGTGTGAGGGATGAACTACTCTGATCTTCCATCATGATTAGTACAAATCCATGACCATTACCGTTTCACTGCAGTGGATTTCCCGTACAGGTTACTGACCTGCACTTACTGCAGATGTGTCACCTTTTTACTGCATCCGTGTATTCATGTATATTCCGTATGTAGATACTGATTTAAGTTATATGGAAGGGTAACGATTCAGGCAAACTTACAAGGTGTATTGAGAAGTTACTGTGGACCAGTGCTAAAGGAAAGCCATTTGCATTTCGTGGTAGTCTGATGGCATATTTACAGTTCACCATCAGTAGGCCCCACATCCGTGAAAAGTTTCTTCTTTTACACAGCCAAGTCTGTTAGATACATTATAGATACAGTTCTCTGTAACCACAAATATATGTAAATATGTAGATATTGAACGTTTTGGGATGCATCTATAGCAGCGACTCTTGGGCTGCCGTGCAATGTGAACCAGTCAGAATTGCCCTGTGGAAGGTGACGGACGGTCACCAAAACGTCGGCTGAATAAAAGACTTGGTTGTGTAAAAAGATCATAGATTGAGTCTCTTTACTCAGTAGGCCCCACAGTTAACAAACAGAAGGCCCTTATAACGTACAGCATGGTAATTCAGTACCTAACGTTAACTGGTCTGTAGAATGTATATCTATCACGCACAGTCTCACTATTCAATATGACTGAAGTAAGAAATCAAACTTGCTCGGGTAGATGGAAAACAAATGATCTGAATACTCCAAGATGCGCTTGCTACCATTATTAACATTACATCATGAATAGAAAGTTAAAACATATCAGCCATATGAAATAGTGTATTCAATGGACGATCATACAACTGTGGCTCTTCCCGTTGTACAACAAAGTAACTCCTAGAGTTGTTCGGCCTGTCCCAGACCTCAACATTAGTTCTAGATATCAGCAGCAAACGTTCGTTCACGTTGCTCTTATGCATTAAAGGCTGATAGAATGTCCCATACCTTAATGTGAACTGCATCATTGATAAGCCAATGGCTTGTAAAGGAGTTATGCCATGATTGCCACCGCACATTAAACTATTTCATACATAGTCTACAGCTGTCCCAGCCTTTCGCTCTATTATCCATATAGACCAGAGAGATGTCCTGAATATCTGATGAGGTACTTGGTAAGCCTAGATATATCTTAAAAATCGATATCATCTAGTATCCCCTCACAACTGTTTCCAGAATTCTTGGGTAATCTTATAAGTCTTGACGAATACCAAGCATCTGCAAAAAGAATCATCAATGGTCACAAGTCACTGACCATTGTCAGTCAAAAGAATTAACTCTCGAGTCAACCATGCAAAAGCTATACGAGTCAGCTTGTTTTGCTTTGTTTTGTGCATTGAATAAATATTTTAGAAACAACTACCTTAATTGTAATCTTGTTGTTAAATTGATTTGATACAAGCGTCATTTCTATACTTAAGTTTGTAGATTCTTCATCGGAGACAAAAATTCAAAGCCTGTCTTTGCAAATGAACATTGAAGTTTTATTATTATAACAGCAGAATCAATTCCTGTACATGTACGACATTGACCCACAGAGAGAGTTATTCATAGTCGACCTCACCATCAAATCTAATTTGTGTTAAGTGATCCGCACTTCTTAATGACCTGGAAAATTCACAATCTCCACAGTGTAGTCAGCGAGAAATTAACTGTCCGACGCAATTATCACTTTCTGAGAACTACGTGTTTTCATGATCACCCGGCAAGGTCAGCAGCTTTGTGTGGCCAAAGTCACGACCTTACTGTAGCCTGGAGCGCTGATGAGCAAATAGTCTACGTGTTCAAGAGGTCTGATAGCCTTTTTGTTGACTATGATTGGCAATTATTGCAGGCATGTGCGGGTCTTAGGCTCTGATGCTAAGCTTTATTTCTTAATGCTGAACCTTATTTACTAGATAGTAATTTATCGCGAGTCGAAATTTCAACTCTTTTAATACTAAATATGCTGCACAAAATGCATGCATTACCAAAGTAATTTATTAGTATGTTTATGTCTGATGGGCAAGTAGTCTACGTGTTCAAGAGATCTGGTAGCCTTTTCGTTGACTATGATTGACAATCATTGCAGACACGTGTAGGTCTTCTTAAAGGTAGCGTCTTTAAAAGTGCCCTGAGGCCAAGATTTATTTCTGAATGCAAAGCCTTATCTTTAAGATCGTAACTTATATTATGGCAAGTCAAAATCTTAGCTCTTTTGAAACTATACATAATCTGCACAAGATGCATCTCACGTCTCTACAAATGTTCTGAGGCCAAGATTCATTTTTTAATGTTAAACTTTATCTATAAGATCGTAAATTATCGCCAAATCGTAAATTATAAGTCCAAATCTCAAATCCTTTACAACTATACTATAAAAACTAAGCAAATATCTCTCTAGTGGAGAACCCAACAACTAGTACTACTAGTACTGTTACATCCTCGCATCATTGAAGACTACAGTTGATGATTTACCTATGTCCTATGACATGAAAAACGTATTTTACAAATATACCTTACTCTCCATAAAACGCGAGAGTGTGTCAAAGGTTAATGGCACCATATTCCCTCTTGGCCCATGATATTCCACTGAGAACTCATTGTAACTACTGCCTAAAAACCATCTCCTACGCGGTTCACTGCACTACGTCTGGGTCATGCAAATAATGACTGCGTTCTCCCAGTAGACTTTATTGCAACAACGAAATTTGTATTGAGATGGGTTTGACCTAATTGATATGATCTATGAAAGATTTGAAAATTAGAAGATTAATCAAAGGAAAGTTTCTTTCTTAAACCTATACAGGTGAGTGTGGTCATAAAAACTACAGCTATATTCTGTAACATATTGCTCGCAAATTCAGTGAATCCAACCATTTACTCGTAAATTCGTTTTTTTTTTGTGAATTTTATCGGGCTTGCCCATGAAAATTGCATGTCATTTAATCTAAGTTAAATATAACGATTCATGAATTTCAAAGTATTACCATGATAAAAGACGGAAACTTGGTTTTCTTCCTCAACGTCATATTTGGGGGAAACAGTCCTTTTCAGTGCATTTTCCTTCTGACATCACTTGCATCAAATAAAACTGTGCGAGTTTTACAAGTTCTCCGTAACGTAACCCCTTAAACGTTTATTATTACATTTTCCAAACATATATATAATATATATACTGTGGCATGGAATACGATTATTGTAAAGCAAATTCATAATGTTTACCTTCTCATAAGGTCTGCCTTGTAAATTCTTTCTCAAACACAATCCATATATATGGTCAGACATGTACAGGAGTCTAAATCCCTCCTGCTATAAAATTGAAACATGATGTAACCCAACACTAGTTACCATGGTGACAGACGTCTGGTTCAGGTCATTGAAGAAGATGAAACAGAGCACAAACAATGTTTTCCTTCGGTAAACATAATTATCTAACATATCGTTTGTGCAGACAGCCCCGCCACCATTACCATAGGATCCTCGCCTTTGGCATGGATCCCATCTCCCAACGATATACGCCGGTCTGGACTACTGCATCATGTAATTTTTACCCAATAGCTCTCGGGAGAGTGTGCCCTTCTGATACATTCTGCCACCGAGGTCGTTTCTCACGTAAGATAAAAGCCACGATAAAAATGCCATCTGCCGCAGACCAGCCATAAACTAAACCGTCATCAGACGAGAGGCTATACATGCCACGGAAGTAAAACAAGTTCGGCATGAGGAATTTTTTACTTGGTGCTGTAAAAACGTTCGCCCTGATAAATGTTTACTTACAGCAAGTAGCAATAAATTACGCTATCCAATAAAGCATCGCTGCTAAGCCATGAAGGCGTAAAATTGGGGAGTTTGTTAATTAATCAGGACAATCACACAAATCAAAGTGCTCGTTTACAGTCTGATCTAGGTGTCCAAGATTAACCCAACTTTCTTTCATGCTTACGAATTCTTCATATGATAGTATAAATGACGATTTTAAAAATTATTAACAGCTTAATATATATAATAGAGAGAGTGCACGGTGAAATTCATATAATATTCATTATTAATATTCATTAATATTCATGCTAGTTGGACAATATCTGCATCTGTATAATACTTATCGTACAGCAGAAAACTAGCCATTGGCATCTACATGAACTTACTTCTTTAAACAATGTCATGTAATTGATATGTCTTTTCTGTCAATTATCGTTCCAGAAAAATGGCACCATTAAGTGTCAACACCATATTGTTCGTTTAATATGTACTTAACAAGCAAATTCTATCTATATGCCGACAGGATTAGTATATATGATATTTTTTGAAACAGTAACAAACTATATAATTAACACTAGTTAATGCAAGATTCACTCACTCACTCACTCAGTTCTCTTGCACGGAGTGCAAATCCTATTTATATGCCTACAGAGTGGAAGATTACTAGTATCAAAGTTTAATATTCAAACATCATCGTACCCTACACCACATTCTCCACTATTGTAAACCCAAAGTGGACTATGTCTTACCTTTACTGTTAATACAAACATTACTTTACCCTACATCACATTCTCCACTATTGTAAACCCAAACTGACATTGTCCTACCTTTGTTTTCCTTCAGAGGCTGCGATGACGGTGTTCATCAGAACCAGTCCCAACAAGACGTGGCCCAGAAAAGCCGTGGTGCCAGCCATATTCGCCATCCTCATGATCGGTGGTAAGTCTGCAAGAAGAAATGACAAACAATAGGTTTATCTAAAATATACATGCATGTATCGACAACATACCGTCCCACAAAACAGTCTAATATAAATAAATGATTAGCAATTACTTTTTGTCCACCGGGGTACATAAACGCCAGTAGTAAATTCCCTTTGACTGATAGGTTGAAGTTGGTGATGCTACAGTAGTCTGCAAAAATCCTAGCCAGAAGCAACGTTTATCGACGTCTTTATGAGTTCTGTGGCGTGTACCATCATTTCAATTTTGGGTAGAAAAACCAACACAATTTATCATTTAGTTCTCGATACCTTTCCGCTGACAGGTTTCCGCTGATATAGCGCCAAGTTAATACGCAGAGTCCTTTAATTGTTTATTACTTACGGTTTCTTCAAAAAGGGCAGCACCGTAGGTAATTTTTCATGTCAGTGAGTTTCTCTGATTAGATTTTAATGACCCCATTTCTCTCGAAGTCTATTCTGTCACATTCATTTTATTCATCATTAAAAAAGTTCTTGTGTTAGGTTTCAGGTCTTAAAGATATCCAGATGCTTCGGGCAAAAACTTTCAAAGAGTTCCCTTTGCGTAAAGGATGGATAGATTTCTGTTATCCGGCAGCATTATAACACCTTCGTTTGGATAAAAATTGAAGATACTGGTACTGAGTTGAAACAGCTATTTGCCATAGCTAGCTTCCCTTTTTTGGAGTGAGGCCAAAAGCATCAACTATAATTTTGTAAAATCGATTATGCAGCAATATTTAGTGCTATCCCGTGAAAAAAGGAAATGAACACTTCTTACTCATTTTATTTTGTAATAGGTATTCTCTATATAGTCTGGGCCCCCTCAAAAACAAATCTAACAGAATCAAATGAATAGATGAATAAATAGTTGTACTTGAATGTTTTCTGACGGAATGTGACTGTTGACATCTCAGGAGGAGGTTGCCAAGTATGACAAGATTTGTGAAGAGGCGTATCAGCAATCACCACTACATAATCTAAAAAGAGATAAATAGATCATTACCTTTTTATCAAATAGTCTTTTAAAAGGATTAATTTCTTGTCCAATAGCAAACCAGAATACCTTGAATTTATTCTTGAATTATTATGTGCATCAATCTTCACATTGTAAAAATGCCAGATTCTTTTCATTCTTGAAGGTTAGATGATAATCTGACCTTTACCTGAATGAGAAACCTGGTGAATTCAGGACGTACAGTCAGTGAATCAGCACAAGACTTGCTCTAGTAATTTCCTCCTGTTGGAAACGGTTGAAATACAAGAGAATTTTAAGTGGACCGTTAGGGCGACAGCCAATTGGTTGAAGATGAAATGTAACAGTTTTCTAGGCTCCCAAGGTACCAATTCAGTATAGGGATCGGTAATTGTTGTTTCAAAATTCAACCGTTTGAATAATTGTTGTTTCAAATTGAGTAGAATGTTTGTTTTTTCATAAAAGACAGCCCAGTTGTGGCCCCCGGGCCGAATCGTCAGGTCTGTTTACACGTACAAGAACATTTCATGCTTGTCACTGATACATACTGTCATAGTCACTAAGATTAAAAAGGTCAACTTTTATTATGGTAAACACCACAAGCATTGGACAACTTTCATCCAATGGTTGAAGTAACACAAAAACATGTAGCATAGCTAAAACTTAATGCTGTCACCAGTGAACTAATATTTAGCAACAACTTTATAGTAAACTTGCACAAGCTATGTAGATGCTGTGTTTTTAGGCTTTTTTATTGTGTTTTTTTGCACTGGAATTTTTTTTCACCCCAAAACCAAAAAACATTCCAGTGCAAAATAGGAACCCCGATAAAAAAAGCCTAAAAACACGCCAAAAATAACCCAAGACCCAAACCTCTGCTTTCTTCTTACCAAGTACAATCTACGTGCATCTTCATTAGTTCAGGTTGCTGCATTTGTCCCTGTATCACTTACATTTATGTTGTCCTAATCAAAATGAGAATCTTAGTCCTTGTGTTATGAGATGTTATGAGAGGTGTGTTTTTAATACTTTTATCACGTTGCTATTAGTAATTACCACTCCCAGCAATGTAAAAATGTTCGAAACCCATGAGCCCACACGTCCCAATGTACGCCTTAGGGCACTTGTCTGAACATGAATCATTCTCTTTGATGTATTGTTTAGAGATTATTTGGGAGGGTATGGAATAATACATAACATAGATATATGCGAATTAATAAGTAAGATAAAGGTATGCACAGTGCCAATGGATTATTATGTTTTATAGTCTTGCAGACATTTATTTACTACGCTTGTGTTTATTTTCATTATTGACGTACTTTCTAAGAATATTTTGTATGATTAACATTTTTTTTACATCAAGTACCTTGTAACATTATAAATTTATGAGTCTAAGAAGACCTTAAAGATAACTGAACCAAGCCAAAGCAGTGGCCGAAAACACTATTCTGGCCCTGGGCTTTCCTTTCAACATTTTCTCATCTATCATTTATTCGTGCATTATGTCTTTATCGATCCATGTAGCAGCGGTATGCCTTTGTGACGGCCCGACATATCTTCGGAGACATTCGACTTCAGCTGTACGGTAAGATAAAGATACAGCCTGAGGAACGAGATACCGCAGCGTACGATCCGTCTTCAGCCTTAGAGACTTTTGGTGATCGAGCGTAGAGATACCTTCTTGCTTTTTCATCCCATGACAATACGGATATGCTCAATACGCCCACTACTGGTGGATAGGGTGCGTTCAAGCGAATGCACAGAGACTGACAGCTGGCTCTCTCTTAAGAATTCGACAGATGAAAAGTTCCGTGAGATTGCGATTGACGAAGATAAAGCACCTTACATCCTGAGTAATATCTTTTTTCCTAGACGTTATCTTGAGGTTACTGACTATATATCTTGAGGTAGAAAGTGCAGACTTTACTCATCTGGAGCCTGAAAGATGCCTTGTCAGAAATCTACCTTAAGGCATCGCGTTCAACAGGTCGGCTGTTCTTAGCGGTCAAAAGATTACAGGTTACATTTGATTCAGAGCTGCAGGTTTTGGGCTGATCCCAGAAGCAGCAGTCAGACTGAGTACAGTACACCGGTGTTTGAGTGAGCATCCAGCTTCGTCGACACACCAAGAAGCTGGCAGTTACATGTTACTTTCTTGCACATTTTTGGTACAATACATGCCTATGGATTATGGTTAAGGGTGCCCTGTCTTGAATAGCAATTCTAAGAAAATAATTTTGGCATCATGGTGTATCTAAAAAGCCTTTGCCATCCATTTGCTCAGTGGCCACTGATGCCTTGGTGCCATCAATGGCAACAGGAACAGCCGATTGTAGTGAAATCCTTTAGAAATAGGTATCAAATGCTGTCTATTCCAAGACTCAATGTCGCTCAATAAGTCATCCTTTGTGTCCGAACATATCGATCTACCAGGTAATGCGACCTAAAATCCGGTCGTTCTGCCCAAGATGCAGGTCAAATCTAACTACCGAAGCCCTGTTTTGACCGAAGAGATCGGTATGCCAAGGAGTTCGCCTATTTTTAGAACCACAAGAACTGGTGCCAATAATTCGTGCATGCAGATTTGAGTAATTCAGGATTTTACAACAGACATCGATTGGTTCTATAATGTTAGGGTTATACATCAAAGGCACAGGTTATCTCACATCGTATAAGGAACGCTATTAGGTGAACCTGATTGCCATTGCCTGGAATTGGTATAGAATAGAACAGGGGCAGTATTATGGAATAGACTTCCAGTTACCGTAATAATGGCAAATTCAGTTATAATTC